ACGAAACGGAGTTTCCCATCCTTTTTCTTCACGAAGAAGACTGGAGATGAGATGGGTGACTTCGAGGGAACGATGTAGCCTTTCCGTAGGTTTTCTTCTAGAAAGCGGTCGAGTTCCTCCTGCTCGTTCAAGGACATTGGGTAGATCTTTGTCCGCATGGTTGCTGGTGCTCCGGGTACAAGATCGATAGCGTGATCCCAGGGCTGATGGGCAGGTAATCGCTCAGAGGCAGATTCGGAGAAAACCTTCTTGAAGTCTCGGTACTGCTCAGGGACCATCTCCTCAAAGGTTTTAATGGGTTTATCGCGGTTAGCCTCCTCTGCTAGTTGTTGAGAATATGTGAACCCTGCTGAGCACCATACTTCCTCTGTTTGTTCTTCCAATATCCCCGCTTTCACCCATGCCCGACGCGTTTTGTGATTGGCTCGTATTCGGTGTATTGGGGATTCCTCCGTTGCTGTTATGATTTCATTCTCCTCTAGGTCTGCCTCAGTGTGATTGGGTTCACGTTGGGATCCTTCGTTCAGGAGTTCCTGGATTGGACTATCGGTAGTAGACGCCACTAGGTGAGGGTGTGAAGTCTGCTCATCTTCTACTTCCTCTATATGTACCCGGGGTGGCTTTACTGAAAGTCGTCCCTTCTCCCAGTCAATCTCTGGATTTACCTTCCGTAACCAGGGGAGTCCGAGAATAATATCCTCTCCTCCTAAGTTTGTGATCAGGAAATCCATCCATCGCTCTTGGTTATCCACTGTGAGTGCTAAGCGTGCAAAGTGGGTGATTCGCCCGGCTCGGTTAGGTGTACCATCGATATTGAATACATCGATTGGTTTATGGAGGGGTGCGCAGGTTACGTGATTTCTGGTGGCAAAGTCTTGGTTTAAAAACAGGGCGGTAGCTCCACAGTCTACCATGGCTGCGGTTGTTATACTATGGTTCCTTCCTCTCAGTTTCGCATGAATTCGGAAATGTGGGGAGCTGGAATTTAATTCCCAAATAGATGATATTGTACATGATGGGAGCGAGTCATACGAAGAGGTAGCGAACATAGTAAACTGATTATGGGGTACTCTCGGTGCAGCCGGAGCGGGTACCCTCTTTAAAAACCCTGCTGAAAACCAGAGGACGGAGGAGACATGGCATTAGCACGGTCCAACAATTCCCTTATTTGTCCAATTTGGGTGGAGAAGTCCTGATTAGCGGGGCTCGGTATAGCAGGTCCAGCGACAGGTGTTGGGATTGAGGCGGCAATCTGAACTGATTCGTTTGGGAATAAGGTAAATGGTGCCGCCGTGGCTGAGATCTGCTGACGGCGAGGCTGTTGGCGTCGGCCACGGTCGCGACTAAGTCCCATGAACTTGTCCTGACAGACGGATTCTAGGTGTCCCCGGCGTCCACAGTATCGGCAGGTAGTCTCCTTGTGTGGGCAATTCTGCTTAACATGGCCTTGAGCTCCACAACCAAAACATCGTCCGCGCATACGGGCAAGGAAGGCCTCCCTGCTATTCCCAGTGCTGGTATGAGTAGCATCAATGTCCATGGCGTGAGGGTCGGCAGGGGTAATGTGAGCAGTGTGTGCGGGAGCGTGTCCGGTGTTTCGGCCGGTCATGGTGGGATCATGCAGGTAGACATCCACCGATATGGCTCGTTTGATTGCCTCTTTCAAAGTCGGAGCGATTCCTTGGGCGATGTTTACGATGATAAGGTGTTGTCGGATCTCCGGAAGTAAGGCGGTGAAGAAGCGTTCCCGTAAATCAATATCAGACATTTCAGTCCGATCTCCGATATCCTTGAACTTCTGGGCAAATTCTGCAACTGTCTGCCCTTTACTTTGTCTGAGGTTCTTGATCTCGCTACGGGCTTCCATACCTGGGTCCATTGGTTCAAACCGCTGGCTAAATTCCTTCAAGAACGTATCCCAGTTTCCTCCGAAAGGGGGATTCTCTGCACTGAAGTGTAACAGATGGGGAGTTGCCCAATCTCCAGCACTTTCTGTGAAGAAGCCCAGGGCGGACTTGATAAGTTTAACTTGGCTCTTGGCGAGATCCGGTTGTTCTGACGCCCAATTTTGGAACTGAGCCATGAAGCGACGAGCTTCAGCACCATCTTTACCCTTGAAGACCTCGGGTTTGTTCATGCTTGACTTGGAGGATGAGCGTTCCTCCATGGCTGTAGCAAGGCTGGCTACTTGTCTGATGAGCTGAGCCATGAGATCCTCAGCAGAGGTATTTGGGGCAGGCGGGACAGGAGTCGACATGATGGGAGTAGGCAATCGGGGTTGGGGAATTGGCAGGAAGGTTATATTGCTCACAGTGAGTGGCTCTCGGATCGAGTTCGAAAGGGCGTTGGGGCAAGGTTGAGACTGGCAATCACGCCAAGTATCGTTGTTGTTGTGGGCGTGAGCTTGGTCTCTGGGGTCAAGTGCGTGCGGGAGTGTGGAGCAGTCTATACTGGCAGCAGGTGTTTCAGAATCGGGCGGGACTGGGGAAGACGTGGTGTCTATGGATCCTGCAAGGACAACCTTATCGGTAGGCTGTCAGTGCAGTAATGGATCTTGACCTAATGTCACGAAGCGGCAGAGGCGGAGTGACTAGCGGAGCAGGAAGCGGGGTGACTAAACCAGACAGTGAGGCAGAGCGACTAAGCAGGTGAGTGAGGCGGAGCGACTAAGCGGAGCGGAGGCGAACTGGTCCCAGATAATGACAGAGATATATTGAGTATCGTAGTCATAGGTAATAATAAGTAAGCACATACCTGGTCCCAGATAATGACAGAGAGGTCAAGATAAGGGACCAGGCTGTGGAGGGTTGGCTATATATACATAATCTAGTCTGCGAGAAACAACGATGTAATACTGTACAGTTCAGGGGCAAGGAAGGAGGCGGAAGCCGATAGAAAGAGAAGGTGGGTCAGGTGGATCAGTAATAGATAGATCAGTAATCGATGGAGATTGACAGCGATGGGATGATGTATTGTACAAGTAAAGGCGTCGAGACGGTGAGAAAGGGAAAATGATAGGGGCTGCGTAATGATAGGGGCTGCGTAATGATAGGGGCTGCGTAATGATAGGGGCTGCGTACTTTATGACAAATACAAGCTTGGCATCAAATAGATAAAGTTGTTGTTCTCTCAGAAATAATGCGTCAAAAAGGAGATAATGTGTTAATTGACATTCTCAGCCGATTACGCACTGGTACTTGTATCCAGGCAGATAAAGATATTCTGGATAAATATGTGCTGAGTAATGAAGCATGCTCTAATGAGACAAAGAGCCTCATTGACATCACACAATGGATAACAAATCCTGAAAATGCATGTCCTTTAATTACTTATACAAATGCAGCAAGAGATGCACACAATTTTGAGTCAGCAAAAGCATTTGCCAGAGTAACAGGTCAAGAATTCCATATTTGTCATTCAACTGACACACGTGGACGTGGCAAAAATAAAAAAGTCATCAAAGGTATTGCAGCTGAAGCTGCATGGAAAATTCCTGTGAAAGATGCTCAGGATCTGGGGGGTAAGGTACCATATATTCCAGGAATGCCAGTCTTTGCAACTGAAAATATTGCAACTGAACTAGGTTTGTCAAATGGTAGTCTAGGTACATTGGTTTCATTAACATATGAAATACATGATGATAGGTATTATGCAGTGTCAGCCACTGTAGATTTTCCTGGATACAAGAGCAATGATCCAGTGCACCCAAACCGTGTCATTCTGAAGCCAATCACTCAAAGTTTCAAATTTCATTTGCCAAATTCTGAGAAATTGTACTCAGCAACTCGAAAGCAGCTTCCTTTGATTCCTGCTTTTGCCTTTACATCACATAATGCCCAGGGCCGTTCAATGAATGTAGCCTGCATAGACTTTGCTAGTTGCCGCTCAATCCAAAGTGCATATGTGATGCTTTCTCGTGTCCGTTCATTGAAAGGTCTCTGTATCTTACGGCCATTTAGTATCAACAAAATTAGAAATCACATTTCAGAAGAACTACGATCTGAGTTAAAGAGAACTGAGAACCTGGCTGCAAAAACAGCACAGGCTGCAGAAAATGACTTGTCATGGTATTACTCAAGGTTTCCAGCACAGGCTAAGTAGAGTGTCAACAGCTAATAACAGCTGTTGATAATTCTTATGTAGCTACTATTTTCATATTTCTTGAGTTTCATTTTTCATTAACCATCATTCCACTTCCTGTCCTAATGGCCAATGGTTGCCAAGGGCAAGTTTATCCCAGAACATGCCTCTGCCTGACATCTGGCTTGGTCACCCAGTTGTATTTGCTGAAGGGGGCAGCAAAAAGTGGGACAGGCATGCTTCTCATAGTGGATCAAACTCTGCACCGAATGCATCAGAAGCAAAAGGGACATTTTCACTTCTCTGGGAATCTTTGTTTTTACTTACTCTATGTTGTTTTCTTGTAATAGTAAGTTTGTAATTGAAAATGTTCGGCACCCGCCGCTTGCGGCCTTACCCCCCAGTCATTTCAGCAGAATATACTAAGGTAGAGCTCAAGCAAGTTCCGCACATGTCACCTGACCGGCGTGACATGACCTTCAAAAATTAGTAGCAGCCGTTTATCGACATATATTTGGTTTGCAAGGAAAGTTTTGCTAGAGGGATGCAAAACTTTCTGCGCGAACCGATTTCGAGAAGGCAGATTTATGAGACTGCTATTAATTTTTTCGTGGATCAAAATAGCAGTGGGTCACAGTCACCTGACGTGTGCGGGTCTTGCTTGAGCTCTAGTACCTTACAACAAAAAGATAAGGACGATACGTCTGCGATCCTAATTGCTTTTTAGGGATCTGAAGAGATGGCTGGGTCATCAAGTCCGAACAGGTCTGGGCTCATTTTTCTGAACAGCAGGTGTCTTTGGAAACTCTGCTAGAGTGACCACAGTGAAATGACACAGGAGCTGAATATTAATGATGACAGGAACGCAACGAAGCGCTGTGTTGAAATATAACAATACCCAAAAATGATTGGGCTGCTAGTTGGTATAAAAGCTCTTCGAAAGCAACAGTACTCCTTATCCTCTCCAGGGAACATACTTCCCATCATATCCATTGATCAACATATAGAAATCAGCCATGGTATGTTCATTAGAGATTGCAGTCGTAGTCTGTTTGCTAACTGCGGTTTACCCTGCTTCTAGGCGCAGAACCCAGCCCCCCTTCCCATTGACACCAGCTTATGGCAGAACCGTGATCGGGATCAACCGATCCTCAAGTTTAATGCTACTGCAGTGAGGATGCCTAGGCAATACGATCCTTCCAACCCATTCACTGGTACGTGCTATCCAAATTTGATGTAGATCAGAGACTGAATTGGCCTTCGGGTAGGCGCGGTGGAGGTGCATACAAAGAAAGTGATGAAGAACGCTCGACTTCATTTGACACACGCAAAAATGAAGACTCAAACCCCGTTGTTGAAATCCAGTATGTTGACTCTATAACTGCAAAAACTTGACTAACTGCAATATATTCAGAATGATCAGCAAGCCTTTCTTTGCCCCTTACTATTGGGAGACCCCTATCATCAAGAAGTATACCACTACCGATGTTTACAACCTTCTGGTCGCAAAAAAGTTCAATCACTACCAGTACAATGGTGCTGGAAGTGGCTGTCTTACTTGGACTACTGCTCTCATCGAGCTTCTTGAAAATGAAGGAGTTATTGCTGTTGGTTCGAAGATCAGCTTTTTGAAAAAGGTTGATGAGGTTCGCACCGATACAAAGTACTGGGTTCCCCTTGAGCCTGGTGCTGAATTCTATAACTAAGGGTTTGCAGAATTTGAAGGTCGTAGAGTTATGAATTGTCAAGTACATTAACTATGATGAGTGTCAACAACTACATGGCGATGTAATGGAAGGACAGGAGACATCTTCGCCGACGTTGAGGGTATACCAGTAGCTGTGGCAGCAAGAGGTTTAGGTGCAGAATAACATGATAGCTTAGTGTTAGCATTAGTATACGCGGAAGGATGAAGTTGAGAGTAACATGAAGGTGTGTGAACGGGATATGGAGGATATGGATACGAGTATGAAGAAGACGCTTGATGAGGCTGCGACATCGAATTCGATATCCTCGGAATCGGTCCATGATGAATTCGGTCATCGACCTAGATGTGGATATGGACAAGTGCAACCCGAAGCTGTACTAGAATTCCTAAGTAATTATCAACGAATGAAGCAAGGAGTTGAGAAACCGAATGAACAAACGCACTCTTTGAAGATGCCCATCGTTTGTTCATTAAGTCGATGACATTTTGGTTCACGTCCCTATCTATGTCTCTGTCCTTATCTCTCTCCCGAGTATCGTTGTTGACCATACATCTAGCCCTTCCACCAATCCCGCCCTCAATAAGTGCATACACCAACATTCTACTCCTTGGCTTAATCGCCGCGCTCGCTACATCATCTTTGGCTTCAGATCCACTCAAACTTGAGTTTGCATTTCGAATCCCTTCCTCTGATCTGGATGCCCGTACCCAGTGATATGTGTGACTAGCCTCTTCATCTTTGACGGAATCTCTTCTTCCGCTACATCTTCCGAGTCTTGAACTTACTCGGTATCGGATACGGCGGCGGCGGATATGAATTTGTTTCAAGTTACGCTTCCGTAGATGTCGTTGAGGTTGCGGGTGTTGCATACTTGAATAGAAAGGAAGATCCTTACAGAATGAAATGAATAAGTCAACGAAAATGTAAAGAAATAAATTTTGACTGAAAAATCGCACCAACCTTCCTCTCTTTCCTTATTCTCATGCCCATCCTCCCCTAATTCTCTGATTCATCTCCCCTCTTCATCTGCATCGCACCCCATTACGGATTCACCTTTATCTTCCATCCCTAGTAGATGGTGCACCGTAAACATACACAGTGGATACGAACGGTGCGGCATGTATCCTGATACCCGTAGGAGTAAGGATAAGGGTACGCCAGATAGAATCCAAATCCGTGTCCCAGAAAAACCCGGAAAACCGCCTCTGGTCATCAAGCGTCGCTCAACTCCATGCCCCCTTTGTAGTCAAAATCTTCATGGGTGGCCCTTATAAGCGGGCCGAGGTCGATTCAGTTCAAGCTTCAGTCCGTGGCCATTGTGTTGACGAAGGAGGTGCAAATGGTACCGACGTTGTTGATGGAGAATGAGCTGTTGACATTGGTAATATCGACTATGCGCAGACAGACGATGACGAAGGAGGATGAGGTGCTGGTACTGACACCCCGGAGCCACATCCAAAGCTGCCGACGAAGGACTAAGCATCAGCATCATCGATGTATGAGGCTCCATCCCGATATCCACATTGTGCTGCTTCGGTCCCTTCGCATGGATAGGAAGTTGAAGCTATAAACAAGTCCGTGATGAATCAAGTAGTGTATATAAAAACCGAACGAATGAACATACCTTGTTAAGAATGACATTGTTCGTCAAGCTATATACACCCTTGGCAAACTACGACTACTCCTTAGCGTAACAGCTGGACTCGCTCCGGCTTCAGGCTACGATGAACTCTTCTCCTTCCTCTTCTCCTCCACCGCATCTGTACTTGTTCGAAATCTGGTACAACAATAGCATCACATTGAGTCTGTTTTTGACAATACCATTCAGGGTTTGGGAGTTGCGTTCCTAAAGAATGGTAAAAAGAACGACCATGAGTAATCGTGATAGTAACAGAGTTTAAAAATCGATTGTATACTAACCTTTCTCGGACTCTCTGGAGTCATGGCTTTCCTCGTGTCCATCCTCAGCCTCTCCTTCGAATTCTCGACCCTCTTGCTTTTTGTCTTGGTCCCACCCCAATACATTGACGGCTCGTCCCTTGAAGTGCCGACATCCGACGTATGACACCCTGGATTGCGGTACTGAGATAGGTGCGGGTAAGTGTAATCGTAAGTTGGGGGAACGTGGAAACTCCCTATCCTCCTCGTGAAGTCTAGGACGCACACTCACACCCACGACTAACTCATCATCCATCTCAAACCCACCCAACCCCGCACTCCGTCTCTCCGCATCCTTAGTTGAAAATCCCAAGTGAGCTTACATCTACTCCGCGAGTTTGTATTCACGAGGATGAACGTCCGGCGTTGGTGATAGCGCAAAAGTCGATGGGTTCAAAGGTGCACGATTTGCTGTCGAAGGTAACAATGCCGGTAACGGAGTTGAGGCCGAAGTGAACTTTCAAAATATGGTGAATTTGGGAGCGTCGATTAGCCAGGCCCCCCGTCTACCTTGCCTTCACGAAGCTGCGGAGGAATCTTTGCAAGAGGGAGGCAGATCCAGACTTGAGTTAACGTGAAGTGGGTTACAGATGTCACCCGAAGTTCTTTGTGAATGATCTTAAATTGTGCGTCCCACTGGCACTGATCATGTCCGGATTGCAAGACCAAAATTGATGAATTGAGAAGCTTGGCCAGAGACTCCGCTTCCAGGTCGCCGTTCTCGAGTGAGGCATCTCTAAGAGCTCTGATGAACTCTTGAGTGATCCAGACTGCTTCAATCTCCGAGAGGACAGTTAATCCGCAGGACAATCAGGTGGGGGTGGGGGTGGAGATGGTGGTGGAACAAGACTTGGTGGTCTCTGATTGGGGTTACCGCTTCCAGATTCCACGCATTGCCTCTTTTTTGACCTCGTTTTGATGCCTCCTCGATGGACTTGTCGGTCCTCTGAGCTAATTCGGTTCACCCATCTGCATCAGCTCCAATGGTTGGGTTTTCTAGTGGGTTTGAGATAAAGACGAGTTGAGGGAAACGGCGCATTCATGATTCGGATCAAAAACTTGATTCAGCCCCATGTGATCTGGGATTCCGACTGGGATTCCATCAGGATTCCATTATCTGTCTCTTCAAGTCAAGCTACTCACCTTGCTTGCAAGGTCTATTCTACCCCAGAATCGAACATTTTTGATGTGCTGGCACACTTTGAACTTGTTTTGTTTTGAAGCTTCCACAACAACTCGCCCATTCTCTATCTACATGACATTCAGAACATATGGAGGCCCTGTACCCACTCGCGGCGTGCCCTGTGCGCGCCGTGTTTTAGATCTACAATATTTACCAAGCAAAGTGTGGTCCACGACAGTGGAGCCTAGTGCTAAGTTCTAAACCTAGATCAGCAGCTACTATTCTGTCGTGCGGCGCCGCCCTCGAATAATACATGGATAACAGATAGGTAAACTTCTATGACTAGAAACCAAGGATGGCCATAGAACGGGATTTTGCGCACTTCTCACAAGATTTGACCACATCCCTAATGCCAGTGATGGTGGACTGACATCCAGGAAGTGTGGTCTTTCGACGAACGTCCCCTCCTAGTTGCGGCGACGATTTGAACCGCCCTTTTTCCCATGCCCACTACCTTGCCCTTGACCCCTTCGTCTTTGAACACCCTCACGCTGCTGACCATGATATTCTCCATATATCTGCCGCAAAAGGAACCTCAACAACCCTCCCGCATACGCATTTTCCCGTGGGTATATTTTTTTCGAGTCGCGACTGTATTGAGCAAGAGCAGCTTCCGAAGGATGCTTCGTTGGGACATCTTCTTTATGATCCACCAAATCACATATGTTGACGTGGATGGTCTTAATACCCTGATGAGGTTCATTCAGGTGATGTACGACTGGTACGGAAGAAAATCACTCGCACCTCTTTACAACCTTTCACCGTATCCGGGATGTCCTGAATTTGTAACGCTCGATACAGGCTATGCCAACCGTTCAAACTGTTTGCATCATCTCCGTAGAATGCATTGAACTGGAGTGCAATGGCATCTCGTACCCCTTCAAGGGCTTGCATTCGTTCTTCACTATCAGGGCGCCAGCCGTACGACCTGCACATCATCCTGAACTGATACATAGTTTCGCCAGTGGGATCATAACTGAACCGCGGATATTGTTCGAAGAATGATTGGATATGATTGGATGTTGCTTGAGTGGGAGACGCCATCGAACGGACGTCGAACTTGGGGCGCGAAAGACGAAAGAACTTCATATTTTATGCAGTATGGAAGAAAGTATCTGAAATCTCAAAATAGTCGTCCTCCTTTCTTCTCCATTCAAAGGTGTGTAGGAAGAAGTGCAAGAAGTTTGAGCTCGTGCGTCTCGTATTACTTCATATGAGTGCAACGACAATTTCGAAGAACAGAAGAAGCCTGGATGCATAAAGTTTGGGGTACGCAGCTAAAGTTTGGCCTGCGCAGCTTGATCAACACATGGAATTCGCGTTCCAGCAGTTGTTCCAAGTCAGCGAGTAAACTCCTACATTCATTCCGTGTGAACTACGTTAATTCAACGACAACGATAACCTGCTCGAAGATTACTTTTTCGATCTCAGAAACACCCTTGCTCTCATGGAATACTGCGGTATTGACCACAAAAGAGTGAAGGACGACCAGCTAGAATCAATCAATGGCTGGCATGCAAAAACAATCAAGAGGAAGAGAATAGTACGAAAGGCTTGTCAATCTTCGATGGTCAAAATGGTCAATGAATGGCGGTTCTTGGTGTTGAAAAATTCTCAGTCGATCAACTTCGCATACGCCGGGGCCGACCTATACGAAGGAAGAAACTAGCAAAGTACGGGGTACTCTTCGATTCAATTTCAGGTCTTCGCTACCTTCACCATATATCTACACGGCCCGTACTGTAGCCACAAAGATTTTTCTGGGGGACATGGATATTCTACAGTTTCGGTGGCATAGGCTAGAAGTTGTGAGTTCGTCACTGACCTGCTTTTAGATCGTGCGCCTACTGATGATGTGCTTTGCTGGTGTAATTTAGAGGCATCGGCCTAATGTGCCGATCCAACCCTGCTTAACTTCATAGCTTTCCAGGCGACTGAGTTCACTTAGTGAGCATGGAAGACCTCAACTGATTTGGGGACTGAAGACGTGGTGATTCGGTACTATACCGTGTAATTCCTTCTTCAACTTGGACTCATCGGAGTCAATAGTCGTAAGTAGTGGGAGAGTCACCACTGATACTATACAAATTAATTCTCACCACTTGGTCCACACCATCATCTCGAAAGTATTTTCTCCCCTACAATGACCTTGCCTCTCAGAAAAATTGGAAATGCTGAAGTTCATCCTGTTGGATTTGGTGCCATGGGTATCAGCGCGTTCTACGGGAAGGTTGAGTCTGATGAAGAACGATTCAAGGTGTGCCGCTCCTCATTCAGAGCAATGAAAGTACGAACCTAAATGTCTTTGCAGGTCCTAGATGCTGTATATGCGAGTGGATGTCGGCATATCGATACTGCTCATATATATGCGGACTCCGAGGCTCTTCTCGGAAAATGGTACGAAAACGCCTCAACGATCGGAACGCGATGCTCAAACATCGGACTCTCCTCAGGTTCAAAAAGACGGGCAAGCGCGATGAGATATTCCTCGCTACCAAGTTTGGAATCACACCGCAAGGCCCTCGTGGTGATCCAGAGTTTGTTAAAGAGCAATTCGCCACGTCGCTTGAACGTCTTGGTGTCGAAACCATCGACTTATACTATCAACACAGGTGCATTCGTATCTTCCCTAGCAGGGCCACTTCTCATGAAACCTGACTACTCGTAGGCCCGATCCCAAGGTCCCAATCGAGATTACCGTTGGTGCTATGGCCGAGCTTGTCAAGTATGTAGGCGCTTACTTCCCTAATCGATCTGTCAAGCATTCAATGATGTCTTTGTAGGGAAGGAAAAGTGAAGTATCTGGGTTTGTCTGAATGTACAGCCGAAGATCTTCGCCGTGCACATGCTGTGCATCCCATCTCTGCCCTTCAAGTCGAATTCTCACCCTTTGTTCTCGACATCGAAGCTGAAGAAATCGGTCTTCTCAAAACTGCACGCGAGCTTGGCGTCACGATCGTAGCTTATTCTCCCCTTGCGAGAGGCCTTCTTACCGGTCAATACGTAGGTCTTTCTTGAAAAGTTCGATACATGTGTATGATTCTGATTGGAGCAATCTCATTTCCAGAAATCGCCTGATGATTTCGAAGAAGGAGACTTCCGAAGGACTGTACCCAAGTATGTCGTCGTGCTCATCGTTTGTCCAGTCTATTGAACTATGTTCTGTGAAGATATCAGGCAGAGAACTTCCCCAAGATTCTCGAAGTTGTCAAACAAATTGAGGTAATCGGTCGAAAGCACAACGCAACAGCAGGTCAAGTAACGCTTGCCTGGATACTTGCCCAAGGTGATGACTTTGTCGTCATTCCAGGGACGAAAAAGATCAAGGTACGAATTTCCTGAGAGTTGAATTGTCTGCGAAGGATGCTTATGATACTTTACTTGAAGTACGTGAAAGAGAACATGGGGGCTACTGATGTGAAGCTCAGTGTAGAAGAGATTGCTGCGCTCAGGAAGATTGCTGAGGAAAGTGACATACCGGGCAACCGATATGCGGAGAAACACATGCAAGTTGTGTTGGTGAAGACACCTCCACTTCCAAAGTAAAATCATGGTTAGGTGTGTTTTTGAAGAAATCTGTAAGAGTATATGTATGCCGTAGGCTGCCTAAGTAGCTTGTCTTGTATAGCCATGAGGCTTAACTATAAAACGTTTGACGTACTATGTAGTGTTGGACGTGGCTGTGCAGTGTAAACATCTTTGCTCCCCGACAAAAATCATCCCATGGCCAGACTTGGTCGCTCTTCAACAGATCCTGTCTCTCGGAGTATAGAAATCTTAGAACCTAGCTCTTGCCATGTCGGGGGTTAGCTCTAAGGGTATCAGGCCCTTTCAAATTGCAAGCCTCTTCACATAGTACATCCCCATCAGCATGGGCCTGCCACATCGATAACGATCACCCTATCTTGCCCGACTCATACTAGCCTCAGACTCATGACTACCCATGAGAAGTATTGTAACCGATGTCACAGGATGAGTTCTGTAATTATCACACGTCTTCGTGGGGTTGTTTGTTCCCAGTCACCTCAAATCACCCATCCTTCAGCAATGGACAAGATTGCAGAGCTCAAAGAAAGAGATATATCGAAGATAATCTTCCCTAGTGCGCGCGCTTTTAGCCTTACCTGAACTGGATCTCATACAACCCATTCTTGTGTATAGCGATTGGCCACTTCGCTCCGTTGTTGGAAGAGAAAAGATCCTTGATTCTATCGACTGCACGAAGGACCTTCAAGTACGGTTCTACAGACAGGCATAAGGTACGTACTCACAGTTTTTTCATGCAGTGCGCTTGTGATTGAGATTGATTAATGGGGTCAAGCTGGATGTATACTACCCCGCAGAGCCTGCAGCTGGGAAAACGCCAATCCTGTTCTTCGTATATGGAGGAGGATACGCCACAGGCTCCAGAACCCTACCGGCCCCAGCAGACTTGGCTTATGCCAACGTTGGCGCGTACTTCTCTCGCAAAGGTTTCATCACCATTATTCCCGACTACCGATTGAGTCCCGAAGTCACTTACCCAGCCCCCACGGAAGACGTTCGGGACGCAATTGTGTGGATCACCGAAAATTCACACTCCCTTGTTCATGAAAACGTCGTCGATATCGATCTCGACTCTTTGTTCATTATGGGTCATTCTGCTGGGGCCTTGAATGTAGCTACGATGGTATTGCTTTCTCTTCTTCCCGAAAACGTTGAGTCGAAGGTCAAAGGGATTATCCTGATTTCTTGTCCATATACCTGCGATATGGAAAGAGTAGGGCCTACATTCGATCCAGAGGTTGCAACCCAGTTCTTTGGTAGCCTGGACAAGGCAAAGGAAAACACTCCGCTGTCTTTGCTGCAGGGCATCCCAAAAGACAAAGTTTCCATATTTGACCGCGTTTTGTTGGCGGAATCGGAAAGGGATCCAGAGCCGTTCCTTCGGACTGGGGAACTATTCCAAGATGCTTTATCAACTCTCATGGACAAGAAAGTACCCAAGATCATCGCTGCTGGCCATAATCATATTAGTATAACATTCGCCCTCATGTCTGGGCAGGGTGAACGATGGGCTGAGGAGGTGGTCGATTGGATGAAAGCGGCAGTCTGACGTTAGTTCCAGGATCGTATTATGTATGTCTTGTTTGCTTACTGTTCGCTTACAGCACTTCCTCTTAATATCTCAATTCCAATCTGTTCTGGTACAATCTCAAAGTCTTTGTTAACAACTACTTCTCGATGTAATTGCAACAGTCAAAATCCTCGCAACTGCAGATTCATTGAGTCTCTATCTCGACGAGTCACAGATTCTATTGCCAAGCGGTAGTCCTTTGTTGAAGATATTCATATGAAGTTGTGATTGTGACCACTCGTGTAAGCCTCCGAAAACCTAAAGGAATGATGCCGCTTTTTTGCAGATATCTATAACACTCATGGAAAAGCATACGAGCTTCCACATTGGTTCCTGACAAAGTACTCCTTTTTGTCCTGGAACATGACTGCGTATTCTTTCCCTTGATGTTTCTCATTTTTGCGCTAATTTTATGAATATCAGAAATACATATTATTTATGATTGAATTCTGATATTGTTTGTGTACATTCGATATGTACAATTTCTTTCTTGAGGGCTGGCGTTTTTATTAAACTCGTCACTGAAAGCAGTTAAATATTCAATTTCCGAGTCAGAGATACTGACACATGTACTAGGTACTAGTTGAGTACATATAAGAAAATTTCAGCCATAGTTTGTGGCTTAGGTCGACAAAGAAGCCACACTCCAACCACTGCCAGTGTTGACTGCCTCGCTGATTGTATTAGGGGCCCCCGCGCTCACGAACCCTACTCGCAAAGTCGGTGGAGAAGTAGCAGAGCTCGCCATGGCATACAACATTTGACTACCTGCAACACCAACAAACCCCTTGTTTGTGACACAGGTGAGGCAATTCGGGCCTCCTTGAATACCAAGTACATCGTCCCAATAGTACTGGCTCAAGACATTTTCCGGAGAGAAAAAGAAGGTATGAACCTAATAATTTATTAGCTATTCAGTGTTTGGAAGTCTCCGATTCGTGGAAAATGGTGGAATGCAGTACTACAGACCTGAATGAAGGTATCTCCATCTGCGACTAAGGAAACTGCCACGGGAGAATTAGACCTGACCTGCGATGAAGGAACCAAGACAGCAGATTCTTCAAACACTCCGATGGTGAATGCATTCGATATGACCATTTCAATAATCGAGCCGTTATGTTGGTCTTGGTAGTACAGGCGTGTGTCACCGTTGGGGAGCTGTATCGATCCCATGTTGGTACCGGAGACTGGAACGACGGCGTCGGTGGTCAAATTGCTGGCAAACGCCCCGAACAGGTACGTTAAAGACATTGATACAATCTGTACGATAAGGTGAGGTGTAGAATCAGCAATGGCTTGAACGTCGAACATCATTCGAGGGATTGGGACTCACCACGGAAAATTTCATAGTGAACATTGTATAGTGAACGTAAGTCAGAAGCTGGTCGAGGAAGCTGAGTTGACTGGGGTAACACAGAGGAAGTCGACAGTATAAGTACTTCCTGAAATTTTATTAATATTCAAGCTGTCTAGCATAGATTCGCTGAATGTGCCAATTGCAAGCTGGTGCAAAGAAGAAGAGAAAAGTAGGATTAATGAATTAGTACAGTAGACTGTCACGATTCTCTCGTTTTTGGACTACATAGAAAGGTGTAAGACATCATTAGAAAGGTGTTGACGGTGTCACTGTAAGCAGTAAGAATGCTGTTCATCAGTTGGTGATGTAGATGCGAAGTACAGGCGTACCTCGAGCTGAATATTTTGTGGAAAATTCAATACAAAATTCGAAGTGCATTCGCAAAGACTTCGGATAGAGCGTGGAGTAAATCAGTCAGGAATCAGTATCAGTCAGTATGACTCTTACTTAGTATCGTCCGATATTCTCGAATAGAGACAAATTTTACGCGGTCTGCGGGTCTGAACATTTGAGTTCAAGAGCAACGTTAACATAATCATGTTGCCCGAAGGTATTGGACCTTGGAGAAATTGTCAGGTATTATGGGATAGAAGGAGGACTGATGATCGATTAAAAGTGCCTATTGCCTGCCACTGCGAAAACGAAAAGACAGAGGCAGAGGCAGAGCTTAGTTGCTTGAGTTGGAAGCTTTGAGAGGCATCGCTGGAAGGGTCAAAGATGATTCGGCAGGTTGTCTTCCCTCCTCTTCCGTCCCGTTAACAGTCTCTGCGACGTCCAACGCTGCCTGCCCTCAGAAGTAACGAAAAGTGAATATGTAGCCGACGTAATTTTTGATGAGATTGAAGCGCGGCAAAGGATCGTCAGACGAGCCTCTTCTCAATTAAGCCTAATTAAGCTGATTGAAAGATCCTCATCATATACCAGCTTTCGTTTTGAGAAAGATAGGACGACACTCACAGTTCATGCAGTGAAAGTCCGTCTCATAATTTCATCCGCTGGGCTAATGAGCAGTCTCTGCGTCGCCGTTATACAAAAGTACAAAGAGTCAGTTCGACGAACGCAGCATCGCATCCGCATATCAGCTGCTTTCACACCGGGACGGGAAAGCCGATTCTGGCGCTTATAGTTCTGCCCTCGACTTTCGACAGTTCAACTAATACGAAACTACTAGAAAATTGTGTGACAACCGTCCTGGGCGCATGGAGAAAAAAAATGACTTGAACTATACCCGGGTCTCATGATTTTATCACAACGTATACTTTGAACAGGAGCCGTGTTATCCTCATCATCCCGGTCAACGCTGCTCCTGCATTTGATACCCTTCGTACGGCGACGCTCAGCCATACTCCTACCTAGTGAAATGATTGCATTGTAAAAGACATAAAATTCTTTTGTGAAGAATGGTGGAGGACATTGCGAGACCCCCCGTTCTACCCTGTCTGGTATTTATACAAGGTTTGGCCAAAATCCGTTGTAATTTCCGGTGATGATGAGCCCAAGTTAAAGTACCCCCTCTCCCTCTCCTTTGAAAAAACCATTCGACATGGATGAGGAAACGACAGCAAGGTGGGTTACTTCATCGTGCAGGATGTGGAACATGTCAAAGATATGAACGAGGTGCTGGAGTCGAAGACGCAATTCGGCCATATAGAATATTCAACCGGGGAAACTAGCTACTGTACTATGAACATATACAAAATTGTCAACGGTAGTTTGATGGTCAGGTTGACAAAGAGGCCACACTCCAGGCACCACCGGTGTTAACTGCCTCACTGATCGTGTTAGGGGAGCCTGCACTCACAAACCCTACTCGTAAAGTCGGCGGAGAAGTAGCAGAGCTTGCTATGGCATATAACATCTGACTACCTGCAACACCGACGAACCCTTCACTTGTTACACAGGTAAGGCAATTAGCGCCTCCCTGAATACCAAGTACACTGTCCCAGTAGTACTGGCTGAGTACATTCTCCGGAGAGAAGAAGAACGTGTGGACCTGGTGATTTATCAGAAAACTTCAGTTTGGAAGAGTCTGATTACTGAACTGAATAACTGACTTGAAGGAAGGTGTCTCCGTCTGCTACCAAAGAAACCGCCACAGGAGAATTGGACCTGACCTGCGAAGCAGGAACCAAGACCGTAGACTCTTTGTATACTCCGGACATGGTGAAGGCATTCGTGATGACCATTTCAATAATCGAGCCACTGTCTTCTTGGTAGTATACGCGTGTGCCACCGTCGGGGATCTGTACTGCCCCCATGTTGGTACCAGAGATTGGAACAACGGCATCGATGGTCAAATTATTGAGACTAGTGGCGAACGTCCCGAGTAGGTACGTTAAAGAAAATGACAAAATCTACACATAGAATGAGCATTGGCTTGAACGTTGTAGATTGTTCAAGGAACATACCACAGAGCATTTTATAGTCAACATTATTATGACAAAGGCACAAGTCAGAAGCTGGTTGGAGAAGCTGTGTTGACTGGGGGAACAATAATAGAGAAAACCAACAGTTCAAGTATTTCTTGGTCAATCTTACTGTCTGGGATGGTTCTGTATGATTAAACACACGAACTCGCTGGGGATAGGGCAACGAGAAGAGCTGTTAAACTCTGCTGACTGTCCAAGTTCACTACATGGAACTGCCCCAAGATATCATTGAAAAGGCGCCGTAATTCAGAAAATGGATTCATTGCGGGCAGCAAGAATGTTGTTCATCAACTGGTGATGAAGACGCAAAGTGCAAGTGTGCCTCGAGAAAATTATTTGTGCAAAATTGAATATTGATTCATAGAATTCGAAGTGTTTCCGCAACAATTTCGGATAGAGGATGGAGTGAATCCGAGTCAGTACTGAAAGTCAAACTGCTAGTCAGTCTTGTCCGATAGACTCGAAAAGCGACAAATTTTGCGCAGTCTGCGGGTCAGTGATCATGAAGAGAACCTTGAGGATAGAGGAAGGCTTACACATTACATAGTAGAGATGTTTGACGCAAAGGCAGTGATCCTCATCGAAAGCACAGTGGCAGGGGCACCAATGATCGCTTTCAGTTAAGAGCCTACATTGCCTGTCACTAGTAGCTGCGAGGACACGGGTTGGACATGGCTATGATCCAGAGTCAACAGTCCTCGAAGCAGTGTCGACTGTCCACTTTCACCAGGAGGTATCTGACTTTTGGTGGGCCCTTGTTGTTGTAATCCTTTGTGGTCCGTCGTTGTCTTGATAGGTTGTCTCATCTGTGCGGTTGCGGCGCATGAGCGCTGAGCGTCGGGCCTCGGCGCTCGAAGCAGGTTCGGGCGCTTATACGAAATCGTGGCAACCCGCAGGCTACAGGTCTGAAACGGTAAGATCCTGATATTCAACTCCCATCGTCTACAAGCCCCAATCAAGCATGAAAAAATTTGACATGCGCCTTCAATCTCTTCGACTACGTAGTCACCAGCTTACTCGGGAACCGTCTAACAACGTGCTCGGCGCAGGGAAAATATTAAAGGATCAAACTTTCCGGTGCTTTGTCACGGTCGATCTCTCAGATCGACCTAACGAGCACGACTAATGTCGAGCGTATGCTTACACCAGAATTGAAAGAATCCTGTGGCATCCTCATCATCCTCAAGACCCCAGGTTGAAGTCGGTTCTGCTCTTCAAGGTCGGCCTTGCTCTTGATGTCCCCCTTCCTTAGCTCGACCTATTGCATGGTTAAACATAGCCATATTGCGAACTTTCCTTCAGCACTATCGCTAGCAACGGGGGACATCGTCATGGTTCTGGAGCAGCAGCCGTTAGGATGGTGGTATGGGCAGTTGGGGAAGAAGAGAGGGTGGTTTCCAAAGCATTGTGTGAAATTAATCAACGAAGAAAATTCGCCGACTAAAGGTGTCACAGAAATCTCTCTTTGCTCTCCTTTTCCCGTACCCAATGCTCACATGAGGCCCTACGAGGCCACAATTCTTTGAATTGGAGTTTCGACATCGTCGTTCCCAGTATCATTCTCGTCGCTTAATTCTGCCTTGGTACGCCACGCTTTGATGCGCCAATCCTATTTCGCCAACCCCGAACCGACATTCATTCTCTGTTCCGCTACATATGACAATTACTTCTCAGGACATCCGTTTACGACCGAAGACGGCATCCGCTTTCTGTTGCCACAACGACCATCAGGATGGTTGTATGACGAGCGATTGAGAACGCCTCAGAATGCTTTATCGGTGAACAACGAGGAAGAGGAAGAGGCGCAGAGGCAGATGGCAGGCAATAGTAGAACAATCCCCTAATCACCACCTCCTCTACTTCTCGTGTTCACAACAAACAATCATTGGTGCGGTCTTCAGCGTACGAGGGTGTAATGGCCCAGTCTATGACGATTTCGCGTTTGCCAACGTTAGATTGTTTAGAGTTGATGCAATCAGCGGGTGTGCAATCTGCTGAGGAGGTTCCCGAGTCGAAGCCTGAGACCACGAAGTTCTCATCCAACAGACGTCCGGTTTAAATTGTGAAATCATGAGCTCGAATAGACGTGACGGATGTCCTCGTCTCTGATTCCATCAAACAGGCACCAGCAGCTTTCTTCAATCAAGGTCATGAACTTTCTATCCATGGGGGAGCATTTAATGCCATTGGGCGTGATAGTACTACCAACACTAACAGCCCCACCATCATCAACAATTTCTACTAAACTATGCCCTTGCGAGCTGGTTGGAATATTCGTCATCGATAACAGTGCTAGTCATTGGCTCGGAGCAGGCTCGGAGTTTCGAAGTATTTTCACATTCCTGACTTGTGGTGCTTTAGTCTGAAAGTGTGAGTCCGGTACGAGAACTCTCAAGTTATTCTGGAACCTAGTAATCTGTCTTTTCCCGGTCCTACGTATCCTACATACTTAATTCTATTCCTAAAGATTATTTGATCCTGATTTTCTCTTTACAAAGTCCGCGTTGGACACGCTGTAATATCACAATTTTTGTTGAGCCTTTTTGACTGGCGAATAACTTGGAGCAGTCAATCACCGAGCTTTCCAAGGGGTACTCAGTCAAATTTTTCTCGTCGACCTTGCCTCTGAGTATCTTAGGATCTGTGCAAGTCCATAAGATGGAGTTCAAACCCCTCCTGGCCGCACATGTTGTTGAGTCGATGTGGGTCTTGGGAGACCCGGGGAATTCTTCAGGCCCACACCGATTCATGATATAAATGCATTTACATAGTCCCCCACATACTAGAATGAGCACAATTGTCCAATGATATATGTTTTGAATTTGTTCAGATAGACTCGAGCCAGTAGTTCCGATTGTGACAACAGGTGCTCAAAGGTGTTAGGGTCTGTCATCCGGGCGTGACTAGAAGGCAGCCTCATCACGTCTCAGCAGCAGTGACTGGTTCGAGTCCAATGTTTAGATTCCACATGCACCTCCTCCCTGTATTGTTTATACCTGTTCTAAATGCCTTCATACCTTGGCCTCCCGACCTATGTAACACCCGTTCTCTCCCGTTCGAATTTTTCTAAATGACATGGGAGGCAAGGCTAAGGACTTGCTGAAGAACTCCTAACCTTCACTCGGATCAGAGAGTAGGAGACAATTAAGACCGATCAACAGACGAGGCGCTATGTATATGAACGAAATCGGTCAATAAGAAAATATAGATTGATAGAAGAGACAGCCTGAGCCAATGTATATATACACGACATAAATGATTATACAAAATATTACACGATCTTGATTCTCTTCCTTTAATTCTCATCGAATCCCTAGTGTAAATAAAGAAGATACCCTTTGATAAATAGGACCCCCATCACGCAGAAATACTATCAGCGACCTTCTTCTTAATCACCTCGACCACTTCTGGTTCAGCAACAGTGGAAAGATCTCCTAGCTGATCTCCTTCGCCGGCAACAATTTTACGAAGGATACGACGAATGATCTGAATGCCGAAGACAAAAGAAGCACCGAAGAATCAAGATCAGCAATCGAATTTCAGAAGAACGATCAATATTATGATCCGATTATAATCTCACCTTCCCGCTCCTGGTTCGCGGTAAATCAGCGACAATGAATATCCTCTTCGGAGCCGCGAATGGACCAATGATCTTTCGCACTTGGAGAACGAGCTCCTTGACAAGTGCAGGCTCAGTTGCGAGGTCGTAGGAGTATTCACTTCGAAGAAGAAAACTTGTTAAATCTTCGTTATGGGCTAGGGAAAGCAACACTCACGGTTTCATTGTAACGAACGCGTTGACGGCCTGACCCGTCATTTCATCCGCCGTTCCAATGACAGCAGTCTCTGCGACTCCGTTGTGCAGAAGCAGAGCGGACTCAACCTCGGCGGTGGACATACGGTGACCAGAAACGTTTATGACCTGTTATTTGAAGATCAGAGATCAAGATGATGGGAATTGTTATGGAAGGGCACATACATCGTCTACTCTCCCCTTGATCCAAATGTAACCATGCTCATCACGGCCGGCGCCGTCCCCAGTGAAGTAGTATCCTGGGTATGGCCTGAGGTAAGTGTCGACGAATCTGAAATTTCCAAAAGGAGGGAACAGACAAAGGCGTTGTGACGTTAAATCATATAATGTGAACGTTAAGTCTAAAAACTAACCGCTTGTGATCATTCCAGATAGTCCGAGCAATTGAAGGCCAGGGCTTTTTGATACATAAAACGCCCTCGATGTTATCACCCTCTAGCGGCTGAACGAAAAAAAAAAAGTTGAGCCCCGCGCCCTTTTTTGAAGTAATCATGACTAACCTTCCCACTCAAGGAGTCCAGTATTTCAGTCTCGATGCCGAAGAAAGGCACCGTCGCAGAGCCAGGTTTTGTCTCGATAGCTCCAGGAAGAGGAGTGACGATGATAGATCCGGTTTCAGTTTGCCAAAAGGTATCGACAATGGAACATTCACCCTTGCCGACATGCTCATTGAACCAATTCCATGCTTCAGGATTTATCGGCTCGCCGACAGATCCGAGAACTCGGAGTGAAGACAGATCATGGTCTTGAACATGTTGATGGCCTGTAGATACAAAATGTTAAAAAGAATGCAGGTAAATTAATTTACGGCTACACACCTAATTTTCTGAGCAGTCTGACTGCCGTCGGAGAAGAGTAGAATTGCGTCAGTCCATGTTTGGATACGGTTTCCCAGTACCTTTACACGGCAGTGCATGATGTGTGGGACGGCACGAATAAATGAGCATGCGTGCGTAGGTGAGACGAAGAGGAAAGATACATGAGAAAACGAATTTAAAAGCGAAAGCGATGATAGGCAGAGCTCACCTTGAGGGAGACGGGTACACGGGGGTACTCTCGAAAACTGTTGTTGTCGTGCCAAGTGAAAGCGGGCCGTAGATGATGTATGTGTGGCCTGTAATCCAGCCGATATCTGCCATGCATGCGAATTTATCTCCTGGATGGACGTCAAATACATATCTATCGGTGAAAGGCAGAATTTTTGAATTAGCGGGAGAGGGTGAACTTCGGTCAGCATTGCGGAAAGTCACGACACAGGTAACGCGTACTTGACGGTTAGAAGAGCTCCGAGCAGATATCCACCGGTAGTATGTAGGATTCCCTTTGGTTTTCCGGTAGAACCAGATGTCTGAAAGACAGTATAATTGGACCAAGGCAAAATTATCTCATAAATTTTGAGAACTTACGTATAAGATGAACAATCCATCCTCGCTGTTCATCACCTCAGGGGGACAGTACGATGGGACATTTGCAACCGCTTCGTGCCACCAAACATCGCGGCCGGGAGTAAAGTGTTGGTTCGCGACGGTTTGGGAACCTGTGCGGCTGAGGACTAGAACATGCTTGACAGGGTTCGCTGAAGAATGAAAAAGCAATGAGAAACAAACAAAGGAATACAATCAATGCGGTTACCATCTCCGCATTCCTTTAAAGCCTGATCGGCGATAACTTTGGTGGCTACAGAGCGCCCCCCACGACGACCTTCGTCGGCGGTAATCAACACGGTCGAGCCACAGTCTAGAATCCTAGATAAGGGGAATAGTAAGTCAGTTGATTTATGTTCCAATTATCCGAGAGTGGCAAAGATCCGAATTGGAATCAAAGCGTGCTAGACCAATAACAGAACAGGTACTTACCTGTCTCTTAAACTCTCTGCACTAAAACCAGCAAACACGGCGGAGTGAATAGCACCAATACGTGCACAGGCGAGGAATGCGGCAACAGCTTGCCATGTCATGGGAAGGTATATTGTGACCTGAATATTGAGAGAGAATTAATCGATACATACATGATGTAGATGAATAGTAAGGTACAATAACTTACAGTGTCACCTTTCCCGACACCCATGTCTTTCAATACATTAGCGACACGACAAACTTCATTCAAGAGCATGCCATAGGTGATATATTGATGTTCTCCGGGTTCGTCAGCTTCGTAAATGATGGCTGTCTGATCAGGATTTCTGAAAGCGTGTCGGTCGACGCAATTGTAACAGGCGTTAAGAGCACCATCCGGGAACCAGGTAATAGGCAAGGTAGACGGGGGATCTGTAAACAGCGGATTAGCAGGAGGGAAAGATGCTCGGGACGTTGGGGCTTACTCGGATTATCCTCCTTCAATTCTTCAGCAGAAGGAAACCCGCCAGTCCTGACGATACTGAAGTCCTTGATCCAAGTAAGATTATCCCTGGCTTGTTGAGCCCACCAACTATCCGAGTGCGGACCAACGGTGTCGCTGTGAGCAGCCTTGTAAGCTTCGATATCGGGACCGATATGAGCTAGAAAAAAGTTAGTCAGTACTGGATGATGAATTTATAACAAATTTGCAACATACATTTATCTGGTACAGGATGGATGTCCTTGTGGGGATTAGTAGCAGTTGTGAGCCTAAGTCCAGGCGAATGCATAGGGATTCCTTGGGAATCATGCCTAGCAGGCGCAGGGAGATTACTTGCAGCAGCGGACATACTATTTCTGAATTGAAATGATTATTGGAAGGAATCAAAATGCATTTATATAATGGCGGCTTACCTTGTGTTGAGAAATCTGCCGGGTAATGTTACTTCGGTTCAACAACTCTGGTTTCCTTGAATGTGAGAATCGCAGTAGAGACGGTGGAAATCTATAAAGGGGGGAGGAACGGCACAGATTCTAAGACACTCAGTATTTATGTCAAATAATATGTTGGAACAAGACGGGATCGTATGATCACCTGTCACCCTTATAAGGCCTATTCCTCTTTTGGAAGTCCGTGCAATGCGGGGTAAGCGGGGTACATAGCTCAAGCGGGGCTCCTTCCTTGGTTCCCCTCAATGCCGCAGCCTTTGACACAAATTTTGATCATGAATAACATTGAGCCAGAACTTGGCCAACCAAACGGCGTTGTCGCTTTGAGAAGCTCATACTAATAGAGTAAACTACCAATTAATAGTAATGTCATACCCTGCTCCAGGAGCCGCAAAAGACTGAACATTCTCCTAAGTTGACCCACAGGATAATATTAAATTTAAATTTTCAGCGTTGAGAATCGAGATTGTCCCAGGGCAATAGAGCAGTAGCACTTGGAGGCGGAACTCCTGAGCCTGGGAATATCACATCTAGACGTGTAAAAAACTTCACTTTATGCATTATGACCATTGCTACACTTTTCTCAGCATTGTTTTAGACGTAAAATGCATCTTTCTCGCTCAAATACATCTCGTAGCAAATCTCGTTCACCTGCTCCTCCAATTTTTCAATCACCTCGCCAATATTTTCCTCCTTCTCATTTTGCAGCAGCGGGGGGATTTGTTCTACCAAACCAAGATCGCGTAGAGCGAGCTAATTCCAGTTTCTCAGAAGATCACTCACAGGATGCGTACATGCCCATTTCCTACCTTTCATCGGCGTCTTCGGATCCATCTTCTCTCGAATACAATAACAGTCACTGCATAACAGAACCTCGTTCAAGGAAATCTTCTGCGGAGAGCTCTATGAAGAAACGCGAAAGTCAGATGCACAATTTGCCTTTAGTGGAAGCGCAACTCCTACCTTCTCTCCGCGATACGATAGACAAAATGACTCGTCCTCCATCCCGGATGACGATCTCAACCCCCACCATCAAACTCTCTCGGCAGAATGGCTCAGAAGATTATGGTAGCTGTGGCGGCGGCAGTATCGATGTCTCGCCGTATCCATCACCTTCGCCGAGGTTGAAACCTCCCTCTACCCATACGCCAATGACTTATGATGCTGGCGAGGATCGTTGTACAACTCCGAAGCGAACAACTACGCCCAAAACTGGTAGCGTTCTAAAATCAGCATTAAAGGCCCCTACACCCAAATTATCTGCTTCCCCTTCTCCTACACCCGCGCAGACATCGAGTCCAGGTGGAGGAGCGCTAAGATCAGTACGGAGTCTCCTTCGTCGAAAGTCGTCGTCTTCCACGGCACTCACAGTCTCTTCAGTTTCTGATGCTCAGGTCACAAAAGTATGCTCATCCATGTTCTACTTACGCCATCGTTATCTGATTAAGTGTGGATCTTTCTCAGGAAAATCAGCCAGCGATAACCTTTGACGTGCACAGACAAATGAACGCGCGCAGTCGGTCACGTACAGATCCTGGTACATTTGTGACAGCAGCCAATACTCTAACAGCTCAGTCCAATCATTCTTCAACCTCGAAAACTCATCAGACACCGCATACATCCCACATTCCTCGCTTTCGTGGAGGAACTTTTACTCCCGGGACTGCCAGACAATTCGTCAAAAGTCATAAAACTGATGCAAATGCCAGCACGGACGAATCAGATCTCGAATATCGCTACGAGGTAGAAGGCAGGGATCGACGTAAACTCACTGTGACGAATGCGGTAGTCGTCCCATCGTCCAGTTCTGAGAGTGAAGATGACCCGTCCTTTCATTTACATCCTCGCTTCCATACATACGGCTATAGCCAGAGGCTTCCTGGTCGGTCAAAGCCTGGTCAGGGCCAAGAAGGAAAAATCGGATTAGGACTGATGTTCACCAATCAAAATCGGTCTGGTCAGCATGAACCTGATTGTATTCAAATTTACCATGAAGACCATACTTATGAACACATCAATGTCAGTACAGGAGCTCCTCATTCAGTCTGCGATACCGTCCCGAAAAGGCAATCACGTTCGTCCATCGCATCCTACCCCTCAGCGGGCTCCATCTACACTGACGACGAGGAAGCGGAGTTCTCGGATACGACCGGAACCGGAACCGGAATCGCTCGGTCAAACCAATCCCTTGATCTGAATGAGTTAGACGAAACGCATAGTAGACGGAAGGCCGCTCTATTAGGGCTTGTGAAGGGACTAGACAACTTCAGTCTTCAATCGAGCTCAGGCTGTGCCGGTGATATCAATCGTCATATGGGTGCTCCAGGTTTGGGTGCGGAAATCAGCAGTGGCAGAAGCATTTTGTCGGAAGGGGAGAGTGATTATTGTGGAGAGAAGGGATTGGCCGTTAGTGGGTCCCTGGGCGAGGAAGCCAATGGGCTCAATGATAGGGATCAGGAAGTCAGTGAGTCTGATTATGGATTTGAGGGTAAAGAGGACCCGGGTGCTATGAAACAACAATTTCAACGGATCAGGTCGGCCACTAATCCCAGTGTAACCCCTACACCTCCGGCACCCGTTCCGAGCACGAGCCGAAGATCAAGCCGATATTCCAGTCCCTCTGAATCTACTGTTGGAAAAGGGGTCCCCAATGAGCCTGAATTCGACAGAGCTCTAAGTTCGAAACGACATTCCTTGCATCCTGCCTCAGCCATATCTAATTCTCCGTCTCCTGTGCCGCCCGGCCGTTACAATCATATTCCGCCATCACCACGTCTGCCGACAACATCAAAGAGCAAGGATAAATCTTCTGCCAATATCGGTGGAAGTCTTCACTACTCTCGTATCCCTCATGCTCCAATTCCGAGTGAGAAAGATCAAAAGCTCATCTCAAAACGGAAATCCTATACCAGAGATTTGTCACTCTCCCCTTTACCCTTGTCCCCGACTACTTCGACAGCCACACCCTACTGCCGATCGAGTCCCACACCTTCAACAGTCAAGCGGGAATCTCACAACTCCTACGAATCTGTTGTGCTAGCCAAGCGATCCATGGAAGCGGTAGTACGCACTCGTCAAGCTTTCGGCATTCCACCATCGGAGTCAGACGCGATCTATCACCCTTCCGTAGTCAATGATCAAGTGCCCGACAAAGAGAACAACGATATCGATATGTCGCTGCAATCAATGCTTCCACCTGCCGATAGCATGGCTTCGGGTGTAGACGTTGCGATGGAAAGATCAAGCTGGGAACACGAAGTAGACAATGAACTCAGTGTCGGAGCAGAAAATCTGTTCAGAACGTTGAGTCAAGGGGGTGGCGAGGCCAGAGGACGTTCGCATCAAGCTCCCGAAGACAGAAAGAATCAGAGATACGAGCCACAGCAGCAACGGCATCTCATTTCCTCAACTGGCGAAGAACATTTTGAACGAAGTGAAAAGTCCAGATCGAGAGAGCGGCGTCAGCCACGGCATCGTTCTCGAACCCCAGTGGCGCGGTCTAGTTTGACACAGAGGACAATGGACAGTGAAAATTTCAAGAAACCTTCTATACCCTCTTCCTGGCGCTCTATGGTCGGTCCTGATATGTATATGTCTCTGCTTGAAGCCCATGGCGAGGTAGAAGTCCAACGGCAAGAAGTGATATGGGAGCTACGCACACAAGAGACTGTGTTTGTCGAGCGTCTGTCTTCTGTCGTAAGCCTCTTCATTATTCCCCTCCGAGTCCACGCCACGAAATCCTGGATAGCCGGCGTCCCTCTCGAGATAGCTAAGGTTTTGGACTGGTTGGAGGACATTGTTAACTTACATACTGAGATCCGAGATACCCTACAGTTATCTCAGACACCAGAATGCCCGCTCGCCGGTGTCTCCGAAGCTGAAGATCGCGGAGGGACGAGAGTAGCATATGCTCTTCGTTCGTTCGTGCCCAGGTTGGAGATATATCAACCGTATCTGGTCAAATTATCGAATGTTTCAGAGATGCTCCGAAGGTTGGTCAAGGATAGCGAGAGCGATTTTGGTGAGTTTGTGAGGATACAGGAAAAGACATTGGAACGTCGGGTGAGCTTTGCGAATATGTTGCTGGAACCTGCGGAGAGAATTGCGACGTATCCTGATCTCTTTCGGGTGAGTGTTAGTCTAGATTACCTTTCATTTGACTAAAACATAACGCTGTGAGCAGAAGCTATTGAACGTTACTCCCAAGAACCATGAAGAATATCTGGCGACTGTCATGCTGGTTCATTCCACTAGTCTAGTCATCAAGACTCTTCAGACGGTCAAGGCAAGAGAAGAAGAATACGAGTTCATCAAGAGTATTTCCGAACGCATCGACGGATTACCTGCCACGACAAACTTGGCGCGAAGGGATCGTCGTCTACTCTGCCATGGAGAATTGCTTTGTCTAAACTTAAATCAAACCCCCCGCAACTCCGATCCAAGACGGGCCTCAGACGTCAAGATGAACAATACCACGAACAAGCTTGTAGATGCAATAAACGATTGGGACACTAGAAGATCAAGATCCGGATCCGTCAAATCAAATAATTCCGCTTCCACAGGTGTATCTTTTCGTTCTGTTGAGACCAGTTCCCCGCCTCCGCCACCTCAGTTGTCGGTTTTAGTGTTCTCAGACTTGGTTGTGTTTGCCACTACTCGATTGTCTTCAAGGGAAAATTCGAACCAAATTCATCAAGAACAACAAGGGTCAGAAAGATGGACTCTTTGTGGTGATATCGGTGTCGCGAGGGTTTTGGGAGTAGAAGAGGCCTCAAACGGAGATGATGCAGAGGGTCTGTCCAAATCATCCCCGTAGCAATGCCACATCTAACCGTCTGACCCGTTGTGCTCAAACTAGGATCTTCGTCGATATATGTAGACCTACTTCCAGTAAAATTTGATCTCAGCCAAAGCAGTTCGTGCACCGGGACGCGCGTCAAGACTGTTCAACTTCAATTACCTCTTACCGTAACCTCCAATCCTTCTTGCAAATCATGGATTTCCGCCTTTGAACTCTCCTCTCAATCTACGTTCCGCAATCTTTCCACCCAGGGACTCACCCAAACTACGGGCGATATCGAAGGACCTAATCGCCTTCTCGAGCAAGACCGGCGGAGGATTCTTGAATCAATTCTGGACACCGGACTGCCGCTTCCAAAAAGTCCTTCGGCACAGCTTATTGAAGACGCGATGGGGCGAAGTAGTTTTGATTCTACGGAGATGGAAAGAGAAGAGCGAGGATGGTGGTCGTTGCAGTTCCAACAGTTACTTCGAGAAAATTGGTATGGCAAAACCTCATAGTCCATGTCTAACGCAACACCAATTCTGTTTATCTGTCAATTTCGGATGTCTTATTCGTTGATAATGGTTATCCCCTGTTAATCCCTTGTTCTGTTCACAATTGAGAACTTGAATTCAATTTATTGTTTAGAAAACAAGACATTCAATTTTCGCATTTGCTCATTAGTCAACTACGGGAGGAATATCATTCAGGGTAAAACGAGGGACTCTTCGAAAAGATTGAGCCTCAGTATCGTGCGCTGCGACATTGGGATAAAAGAATGAACCGAGGTCACAACAAGATCTTTGGATGAAAGAGCATAGCGCTATTCGGCCCTTACTCGAAGAGAAGTTTCCTGTTTGTGAGGACCTTGAGGTTTGGTGTGTTTAGGACATCGAGAAAAAGCGTTAACATGTCGGAGGTCAACTCAAGACTGTACACTGTCAATCGGAGGTCGAGAGAGAGAGCAGGTGTTTGCGTATAACAGGATGATTGACTGGACAAAGACAGCCACGAACGTTTCCCCTCATTGTATAGACGGAATTTGCAATGTCTTCAATTGAGAGATTGAACTGACAAAGGCAAGATTCATCCTGAAATTGCCAGAAAGATAAGTAAGGTTTGTTGGAACCAACGGAAACCTCGTTTCATATGTAGGTTTGGGCAATCTGAGGGAAGATAAAATAAATGTTCCTTCGGTTCTCTTGATAACCTCGGGCCTCCAAAACAACATCTTGCTACTAGCTACTACAACTGATTGGATTATGAGGAGGGAAGCTGGTTCGGTCAGGGTTCGGTTCAAGAATTGTAATCGCAGTCGTGGGAACCAGCGCCGATATTCCTATTCTAGTAATAGATGGCTTCCTTCACTCATCTCTCCATCTACGCGCATCCCATTGTTGACCGATACGCGCAATAAGTCAGGGTCTCAGTGACGTGACGTGGTTTCATGGCATACATACCTGTTGTAGATGACCATCGAAATTAGTACTTAGACCATGCTTGGACCGCTCAATACGGCGAACAATAGGCTTCACAGCTGTCCATTCCCTGAATCCACATACTTCACGTGGAACCCCAGACAGAATCGTTAAAAGCTTGTGGTGTGTCTTTACCGGAAGACTCTAGATTTCATTTCTATATTCCCTTCAGCTTTTAGTTGCTACTCTGCGAGTTAGCATATCATTCATACGCACGAGTTCTTCATTCAACGCCCCTCAGCCAAATTTCCTTCTTTTACTATGCCTGCTTTCGGAGAAAATCAAGCTTTTGCCGTTCATGTTCAAGATTCGGTGCCACAAATCCGAGCACATCGTCGCAGAAACCGGTCGGTGCTCGAAACCACTATGGTTTTCCGGACTTCGGGCGACTCTGCCACTCAAGTTCGGGCGGAGAATGCCTCGGGTATTCGTATCAGCGTCACCGGGTGCGCCATTTCCTTCAACTTTCTGAACGCTTTGGCACTGTACTAACCAAGGTTCGCCACTAGGCCGAAGCCTGGCGAAGCATTTGAGGCCACTGCATACGGTCGTTCGCCATATAACGGTCGCACTTCAGTGACGATCACTCATCACGATGTGAACCTAGCTTTGGATGCTCGTCGACCCCGGCCGTTAGTTCGATTCGTTTCTGTTGGACCGATTTCTGATGCGGACCTTCGTCTTGCACCAGGAGAAATTCCTCCACCTTACCCCTGCCCGCTCCCGGAGACGTCCAGCCAAAAGAATGTCGAGAAGATGAGACCCATATCTGCACCTGCTCCATCTGCGGAAGTGGTTAAAGCGATGTTGGATGCGCCTGCTAACAAGCCCTTTGTTCCAGCTCGTCCTTCTACTCCTTTGCGGATCATCACGAATCCACTCGAGGACAAATACGAGGTGGATCGTGAATCTGGGTACTCGCCACGGGATTCTCCTTCGCCTTTCTTCTCGAGTTTTCGTCCTCATCAGTTCGGCGGTGGGCGGTCGATGGACTCTCATCGGCTCGTGTTGAATGAACCCTTGCCATCGCTATGTCCTCGTAGCCCATCCGAGAGCTCGTTCGCCGAAAACGAAGTTCCATGGGAAAGTGAAGAAGTTGGTCCTGCAATCACAGAACCCGGGAGAACCCTATCCGAAGAATTCCAGGACAACGAACTTGCCGCTGAAATTGTGGAAGAGCAACACATACCCACACAGTCCGAGAACAGTCTTTCTTCATATCCTTCGTTCGACAGTTTCAACGACGATTCCCTTGAAAACACTGTCGAAGGTGATATTTCTCTTACAGAAAGTGTTGAATCTCGAGTCATAGAGAGGTCTCAACGGCCAGGCAAAGTCATCAGCTTGACGAAAGCGGTTAAGCTGAAGCTTTACGGTTCTCGTCAGATAACCTCGTCTTCTACTCTGCCATTGGGCAGGTCTTCAATGTCTCCTCCTCCTCCCTCCGCGTTCCAAAGATTCGAGCGGGCGTTAGGGGCAGCTGCTGGTTCCTCAGCTAGCCTTAGCTCCCGCGTTAGTCTGAAGAATTCGAACGGGGTAGGACCTAGCTCGGGAGGCAAAAGTATGAAAGCACTACTCGGGAAGGCAATGGGTATTGGAAAGGGCATGAAACGATCAAGGGAGGACGAGGAAAATATGGATCCTGACTCTATTCAGGATGGGGTTGATCGTCCAATCGCGGGCAGGAGGACTAAACGAAAACTTATGGGAATTAGCGTGGGCAATTAGAGTCCTTTTGAGGCCGGGTCTCCAGAGGCTATTGATCCAGCTGTTTTCATTCTATTTCATCTTTATGCATTTGATGATCTATGTTTTCATGACATACACTCTTTTTTATCACCAGCATTCATGTAGATTAGTGACCTTGTTCGCTTGTAGCCCTACTAATGTCTATCATTTCATTCGCCACTGGTCCGCGAACTATGACTGCGGTAAAATAGTATGGAATGCTGAACTCAGACCGTTGAAGTTTCTTACAACAGGAACTTGAAGTCAGTCACCCAATCTTTCACGTCGCAAACTAGCTATGTGTGGATGGGTCTTTCGAACTAACGGGACGGGCGACCTTGCAGTAGGATATCCAGCAATTATATCTGCAAACATTCCCGAACCTCAGATGGGAATTTTTTGGAATATATCCTGTCAAAGACGATGCAACAACCAACATTTATTGAATGATTGAAGGAGTTACGTTTATCTCTAAGTTCAGATGCCGAACTTCAACTCTTTCTCCGTGTGGAGCCTGTTGAATTGTCGGTGCTCTTGATCTATGATGACAAAGAGATGCTCAGGCTGCGATGCGACACTCATTGTCAAGTTCCAACACGCGTACGAGGAGAAGAGAGAGAGATTTCCCTGATGCCAAAAGCGGGGAAACTGCCACGAATGAATACTTGACTGCGGGAGTCCTCAGGGCTACAACGTGCCAGAAAGATTGAAGCTGGATTGAAGCATGTAGGCTACAATCAAAAGCCGGATGACCCTACAGCGGAGTCAACTGGAGTCACCCTATCGTCGATATCACTCAAAACGAAAACGAGGATGCAGCGCAAACTCACTATGACTGTTCAGAGCGTTCAGTTGTCATACTCTGGTCATATCAGTACATAAAGATATCCCTAACACGCCTTGTAGGTGCTTTGAGTCTTCGACAGTGCTGAAAATGGGGTGAGCGCTTGTGAGTCCACGTGGCAGGTCTTATCTCCTCGCACCAAAGCGGATAGCTTTCTTATCGTGCTGACGCAAGCAGAGATATATAGTACAGCTCGAACAGCAGAGTTCTCCGGATTTCCCCTCCTCCACAACCACAACCACCTACTACTTATTATCTCCCCCTTATTCCTTTCATTTACTTCGGTCGTTTTTGAAAGTCCATTGCTGTGATGCGCTGTTTGCTCATCGCGTCCATTCTTGCTGGTATTGTAGGCAGTGTTCAAGGTCACCGTGCGCCTGTGACTGCTCGCAAGTCTCTTGGTTTTGGGCCGGTACATCCTCACGCCGTTTACCGTTCAAATCCGTATCAAATTGCCACCAATGGCGTTCTTCCTCAGAGTCCAGATGCAGACCCTTTCGAGGTCGCACGACTCTTCATAGGCGACATCCTGGGACCGAATCAGGACCAAGCCTCATATAAGATTCGCCCAGACTCCTATACTGACCCTTCGACGGGCGTTACACATGTATATGTTCGTCAATATGTACATGGTATTGAGGTTGCGGATGGAAACATGAATATCAATGTCAAGGAAGGCAAGATTTTGTCGTATGGGAACTCGGTGCGTCCAATCCTATGGAAGAAACTACTTTTCATCAAAGGAGACTCATATTTTGTAGTTCTTTGCAGGCACTCCTCCGTCGCTCATTGCTGTACCTGACTCGCGGAATTTTCGCCATCCTCAACGAGAATATTGCCAGGATCTTTCGGTGGAGCTCGAGACACAATTCAATGTTTTTGCATCGACCCAGAATGAGCAAGCACCCATGGACGATCAGAAAACGTCTAAATTTGCCGCATTTGCTGGCCCTTTGACCCATCTTTACTACTCCAACTGTCAATTTGACGGATTAGCTGACGACATGGCTCTGAAGCGGCCTCAAGCTATTGAAGACATTGGGGATATGCGACCTGCTCTTCTACAGTTCATGGTCGCCGCCACTCCTAAAGCACATGTAGTCAACGACATCCTTGGTAATTATGACGAACACTTGAATAAGATGTCCGTTTCTGGTGTCAACCACTTTACCCCCGAGGGCGAACAAACCTATCTTTTCGTAGACAATGTCCCAGATACTGTTAATCCTGTCAAGGCCAACATTGCTTATATTCAGATCCCCTCCGAAGATGGGTCCGTCGAACTTGTGACCGTTTGGAAGGTTCGTGATCTTCCTCGTAGATTACTTGTACTATTGTTGACTTTCTGTATAGTTCGAGGTCGAAATGCAAGATAATTGGTACGAAGCCGCTGTTTCTGCTATTGCGCCTCATAGGATTATCTCGGTCGTCGATTGGGCATCTGATGCCCCAGTTCCTGTTCCTGATGCCCCCAAAGAGCCTGCTTCCTACAACGTATTTGCTTGGGGCGTCAATGATCCTTCAGAAGGCAATCGCACGTTGCAGAAAGAGAATTTCGACAATCTTGCTTCTCCCATTGGTTGGCACTCTTTACCCTTCGCCAATGACCCTTCGTACAGAGGCGTTAAGCCGAGCAATGAGTTTTACCGCAACACATCGACCACCTTCGGTAACAACGTTTTTGCTCAGGAGAACTGGGAAGGTCAGAATGCCTATATCAACAACTACCGCCCCGATGCTGGTAGTTCCTCGGTATATGATTTCCAATACAAACCCAAAGTATCCGATAGCGACGAAGCAATGGCTGTCGCCCATAACTACATCAATGCGACTGTCACGCAACTATTTTACACTTCGAACATGATTCACGATCTGTACTACAGGTGATTATCGCTCGTTGCATACCTTCTCAGATCTACATATTCATCTGGCTTTCAATAGATACGGTTTCACTGAAGTTGCAGGTAATTTCCAACAATACAATTTCGGTCGTGGGGGTCGCGAGGGGGACGCCGTTATTGCCAATGCTCAAGATGGTTCCGGCTTCAACAACGCCAATTTCATGACTCCTCCCGACGGCACCAACGGACGCATGCGCATGTACCTTTGGAACACTGCGAACCCTTACCGAGATGGTGACTTTGAGGCTGGTATTGTGATTCACGAATACAGTCATGGTCTCAGCACTCGGTTGACTGGTGGACCGTTGAATTCTGGTTGCTTGGGGTGGGGTGAGAGTGGTGGAATGGGTGAAGGTTGGGGAGGTAAGTTCCTGCCCATTGTTTAGTGTTGCATGTTTTGAATGTTGGTTGTTCAGACTTCTTGGCAACTACTATTCGCAGCACAGCGAACTACAGCGATTACCCAATGGGTGCATGGGCTGCTAACAGACCTAAGGGCATTCGCAACTATCCTTATTCATTGGTTCGTCTTACATCGTGAATTCTATTTTTATATACTAATCTATCCACATAGAATGAGACTGTCAACCCTTCTACGTATCAGACTCTTGACAAGCCTGGCTACTGGGGGGTTCACGCCATTGGTGAAGTCTGGGCGCAGATCTTGTGGCTAGTTTCCCAAGCACTCATTGAGGAGCATGGTTTCTCCGATACGCTCTATCCTCCTATGCCTCTTGAGAACGGGACGGTTCCTGCCAATGACTTTTATCGACCTGCTGTTGGTAAGAAACCTTTGGTGCCGAAACACGGTAACACTTTGTCTGTACAGTGCGTATTGGATACCACCTATATTACAACTCGCCCTCTAACAATCTTCCAGGCTTGTCATCAACGGCATGAAGCTCCAGCCTTGTCAGCCTTCGTTCTTCGACGCTCGTGATGCCATCATTCTCGCCGATGAGGAACTCACTGGCGGAGAGAACTTCTGCACTCTATGGAAGGCGTTCTCCTTAAGAGGTCTTGGAACGGATGCCAGCGTGCAAGGTCGTACTCCATGGGGTGGAGGGATCAGGTTGAACGTGAGTCATTTCAGAAATATCGTGATTTTTATATTTCCTAACCGCGTATGCTCTACAGGGCTTTGCCACTCCCACTACTTGCGAGTAAGCTCCTTTGAGCCCCCCGTCGTTTGTATATGTCTACATACTTAATATATACCGCTGTACATCTAAATTTCATTCACGACAACATCTTCCATAAATGATTTACTAGATTCAATCATCATGATCTCCAACATCATGCCATTTTATAGGAGTAGCAATGGTAAGAAAGAACTCAATAGCTCAAGCTTACTCCAATGCGCTGTTTTTATCCTACCCAATCGAAAATATGCTTAGAGGTTTGTATCTACAGCTTTGACCATTTCGATGTTTCTATGCGGCTTTCTGAATGCTGGAGCGTTGACTCCCTAGACGTTATCGATTATCACCTAAGAGATTTGGACTTGGGATCCTGTACATCGTACTGAAATTAAAAAAACATATTCTCTTTTTTTGCAAGGAAAACAATTCGTGTCAATTCGAGTGGCAGGAATCAACATCAAATGTTCTGAATCGACGAACTTCTCACTGAGCTTGGGATCCCAGTCCTTCCAGGACACAATTTTGAAAGGTATGTATTGTGCATGTTGTTCCAGTGATATCCACAACGTGGGTGGCATGGAGTCTTTGCCAAAACATCATCTGCCTCTTGACTGTCTTCCTGCTTTCTTCTTCCGTCAATAATTCGAATGCTCCTGTCTGCGGCGAGGCAAGTTGCAACAATTCTCGTCCTCAGTTTTGTTGTTCTCGCCGTCAACGTCGGTACCACTGGTAATTTAAACATCGGCTTGTCTCTAGTGTTCCTTGAACCCAGTCGTAGCCAGTCGTCGATTCGTAACTTAAGCATTGCTAATGATGAACAGACTTAAACTCTCTTGTTCTGGCTTCCGTTGAATATGTGAACGACTATAGGATTATTAAACGGGTTTAATTTCTACCACGTACCGTAATGCTTAATACTCAGTACTGATTATAGCATTACCAGATCTGTCTTCGTTGAACTCACACATCCAGTTTGTCATTGCCTCCCCGCCTGCTGCTTTCATAGAACAACTTGTTACCTCAGTCAAACATCGGACATATGTACATATACAAAAATCAATCATATCGATTGTATATTCTGGATTCTATTGAATCGCCCATTCCCATAACCTGCCCATAACCCCAGCAGAACTATTCATCCACCGAGTTGCTTTTACCAAGAGTCATCTTCAAATACAGATATATCCCAGATATCCTTCTGTGTCCATTGGCGATCCGGGATATTCTCGAACTTGGTGAAGTTCTCTTTCGACAAATAATCCTAGTACCCAATGTCAGTGATTTGGATGCGCATCTGACGTAGAACCGACCTTCTCCCATTCCTGGTTGGCATAGTATGCAAATACTTCCCGGTTCCTGTAAAACATTCGCATGAATGAGGCATCGAGAGCGTTAACACGACGTACTGAACAGGCCAAGGGCTAACGAGTCGACCACCGTTTTCGAGCGATTCGTTGTTCAGCCACGTCACGTACTGCCGGACAATAGCTATAGTTTGCGAACCTTCTCAGCACCAGTAGTTATGCAACCCTGTGGTGAATAGCTCACCTTCAGAAGGCGCAGTCCCGAACAACCCACGGAAAAAGGTATACCTTGTCGAGTTGTATTGCGCCCATAATCCCGCCTCATTTGGTAGATGAGCTGTCCCCTCCCATACTTTTGCCTGGCCGTAATACTGATATTGTCCAGCAGTCCATGGGCGGACTAGTCCGAAACAGATACGGAGAATGCTTAACAGAAGCTAAAAATAAAAGCTTACTTGTGGAAAATGCAAGTGTTGGGTCTGGAATAAAGTGGCCCGTCCAATGAACATATTTTAAGGCAGGCCCGGTGAATACGTCAGAGGGAGGAGGTGCTTCCAAAGATTCAGCCCCGAATGTTCTATACCAGTACCGTCAGAGTATTGAAGTGATGGCAGTGCTACTTGAAATTTTACTGATTCAAAACTGAAAGATGGAAAGGATTGCTGCGTTTATATCCTGTAGCTAGAATAACCTATGTAGTTGTGGATAATGCTTCAGTTCAGTCCTTCCGGATCAGAAATCGAAAATTCAACAAACCTCGTCGATATTTTCCAAAACAGTCCCATTCACCAGAACAATCTTCCCATCCTTGATTCCATTGTCCAGGGAAGATAACGATTCGAAATGGGAGATCTTGGGTATAAATTCAGTCTCATCAGGGAAACGCCTGAACGAACGGCGTTGAAAAGGGTGAAGAGTCTCCCAATCTGCGTATTCCTAGGCAATTTGGGATGTGATTAATAAGATTGAAGATGGGCGAAAAAAGCACACACTTTGTGACTTGCATAGATCTTCTTTGCAACAGGTGCAATGTCACGAGCAATTTCAGAACCACTAGTGCCTACACCGATTACCAATACAGTCTATCACCAAAGAATCAGGTTAGTTGTATTTACATACAACTGGGTATGTTTTGACGACTTACTTTCCCTGTGTACCGTTCTGGTCTCCTGTATACCCGTGAATGATATACGCTGAACCGGGATGGGTCGTCTACAGCGCGAACATTGCTCCATTGTAATAATCCATCAATCTCCGGTACGTGAGGCGAGGTATATGGACCTGGAGCAACAAATACCGCATCAAAGTCTTCAGTCCACCACGTCGCCTTCAAACGATCTGGCTCTTCCAATTTTTTGAGATGTTTTAATGTCAATGTCCATCCGTTGCCGTCTAGTCTCTTGCTGAGTTTTTCCACACGGGTGGAATAGGAGTGTACAGAGGAGTTGTCATTGGCGTTGAGGTTGTGGATGGAGGCGTATGCACGAACGTGAGCTCCTATGGTATGGGCGGAGATTACCCACGACTAGGCTATGGCTGAGAGGGAATGATAATAATGAAGGGTGCAGAGGGAAACTTACATGGTCGGGAGGATAAGGTACGTCTGGAAGCTCTGTGATCACTGCAGGAGAATTCGTGTGTAGACTATCCCAGATTGAACGCGGCTGCCAATGTTCTCGCCAGCGACTGTCCAGAGTCAAATCATCATCCCCTTCATTGTAATATTCTGAAGCGGGAAGTGCTTCCGGTATCCAGTGTTCTTCGACAGCTGGTGCATCACTAAGAGTTGATCAGTGCATAGCAATAATTCCAAAAGTTGACTTGCTTACGGATACGACTCACGAACAGGAATCTCGTCTGAATACAGCCAGTTACCACCAGGACCTGGTGCTCGATCAAATAATCGAACAGTAAAATTGTGTTTCATAAAAGTAGCTGCAGCTTGTAGCCCCGCGGGACCTATCCTTGGGTCAAAACAAAGCGGTTCTATTTGACGTGCAAGGGTTGATCTTACCAGCTCCAATCACTGCAACACGCTTGATAGTCGAATTAAACTTGTACCATTTCCCAGAAGGCTCGTCGTTGATGGTTTGTCCAGCAATAGGAATGTCCAGAACAGTCTGAGGTTCTTCGACAGTGATGGTTTGTCCAGCAATAGGAATGTTCAAAACAGTCTGAGGTTCTTCGACAGTCACACTGGCGACGTGGACAGTGACTAGGAACAACACGGTGAGCACAGAGAGCTTATGCATGGCGATAGATCGTCAGCAACTTCTGGTGGATTTAGTGGTAATGGCATTTATAGTTGTACGGTTAAATTCCTTACACACCTTGTAGTAAGCAGTTTTCAGTATAGCGGTCTATGAAAAAGCACTACGACAGAAGTCCTAGGTAACGATAAGGATATGAGGCGAGAAATCGTGTTTATGATGCCAGATGCCACTGTATTGCACCTTTTGTTTTAGTACACAATATCATGATGTATTCGCGCACCACTGCGGGGAAATCTATACTTGAGTCTATATGTGAGAATTGACCAGAAATATAATGAATCCGCCCAAGTAATATCTAGTAGTATGGATTTAGAGTGAGGTTTGACCTGGTTTGACTGTTCCTGTGTACAATTTGTCTTCATTATCGTGTGCGATAATACAGAGGCCTAGACGTCGCACCAAATTGTATCAAAATCAGATCATCTTCGGGCAGCTACTTTATGTTTCGAGACGTTTATGATCATTCCGAGAGTACAAGATCCCAAACTATCCCAAAGCATCCCAAGCAACGTGAAGTTTAGGAAGGCCCTGGGAAGGCCGACGTGTCGAACTTGATGGTCAAATGCAGGTTCGATGTCATGTGACAAATCAGCCCCTCCTTTCTTCATCTCCTTCATGCAGTGATCGGGCATTTCCTTCCTTCCTTCGGGCTTTTTACAGGCGTCTACTCCAAAAGAGGATCGACACAGCTATTGAAGGCTTTCGCTCAACCCATTCACAGAATCAAACCCTGCCCATTGCCTCAAAACGGCGGACCGCGGTCATAAGATTGGGGATTGAGAGCTTGGATCAAGCTCAAAAGCATGGGATAAGGTGCGAATTTCGGCTCCATATCCTTTGCTGTTTGTCATTTCCATATCTCAGATGAACAGTCATGCTACTGCTACAGAATCAGGAATAGCGATAATAATCCTGGTATATCTATAGCACACATGAGACGCGATGTGTGTAGCGCGAACTCCGGCTGTTCCTGTTCCTCAATGGGACTGTGTCGATCACTTTATATTACCGGGGCCTGCTGGGGTTTATCCGACGTGACGCAAATCATGCAAAATAAAACAGTGGAAAATTCCAATCTTGAGCGTTGAAACATCCCAAACTATTTCCAATTCGGGAGACAAAAAGAATGGGCTGTTCAGAGGTGCTAATTGGATCCGTTCACGACCACCGACGTATCTCCTCGACGAATAGGACAGAACCAGTGCTGGATTCAATGATACCTCAGGGTTGAGAATCTTCGTTCTTGAAGGAACTCGTGATTAATGAAAGCTGTATCGTCACTGGAACCGGAAGCTCTCCTCCAGTTCAACATAGGCCAGAGCCGACCTCAACTCGATGTATATATAGATTCTACCTTCTAAAAATTAGCCAAAGCCCATGTACAAGCAATTCACCTTCTCCCTTGCCACCATCTTCCAATGTTACTGGCCTGCCTACGCGAGCTCATGTTGACTTCTTCAACCTGTGTAATGCCCTCCGTTTTTATCACCTTTCCCAAGTTCCAATGCCTGATGACCCAGTTGCATTAGAGCGTTTTGCCTCCATATTCTGTCATCCATTTAGCATCCCCTTTCCAAATTCCAATGTCCTTGATGATCCATTTGCGTTGTCATTTTCGAACACGTTACCCTCATATTCTAACCATCTTAGATTCACAAGAAATGGCCGGATTCAGAAGAACTCGCATGTTGTTCAGAATGTTCCTTCTCGTTGACTTAAAATATTTGATTGACCATGAGACTGGATCAAGTTGAATACGATTCATTTGGATTAGAAGGAGATCTTTAGACCTGGATTAGACTAAGATACCGCTGACCCATTGTACGAAGACAGAATCATCCTCCAGTTACCACATTCCAATTGCAACAAATCCCTCCCAATTACGTCCCGACAAGTATCATCATCATGAAGGATATCTTCTAAGAGATGTATGTAGTTCGTGTCCCTCGTGGCTTTCCGTAGCAATCAAAGCAGCCTGACTAATTGATTACGCACAATTTGAATTCTCCATTGAGCACCTTGGTCGCAATCTTGACTGAAGAGGGAAACAAGGGAACGGGAAGGACGAAGAAAGGGAGCGAAAGGGCTGCAGAGAGCCGAAGATGTTAGTGGGTTCGAGCCTGCAGGGCTAAGTTCATCAGGATGATGTATTAATGCACACGGTGTGTGTGGACTTTTCGTGGTTTTCCGTGGTAGTCCGTGGTTGACCTGATCGCCTTGCGATTTTCTCATCGACAAGCCCTGCTCTCCACATGAATCCTTCACATTCTGGTCAATGGGTGTTGTTTTGCATGCTTAGACAGCGTTCTATAATACGCGTATCCATAGTGACAAAGTGATGGTAGTGCTGCAGTAGGCTGCAGTCTGCTGCAGTGCAGACATAATTCAAATTTGATTCAAATCATACCCAGCAGAATCCGACGCATGGTCAAGAATTTCACCGCTTCGCGATTGAACCTGGTTGAACTGATAAATAATTTGACGTTCCGATGGAGTGAGCTTTCGTTTCGTTTTTTCAAAAACTCGTGGTAGGAGGCCGGATGTTGTAGAAAAAAATTCCGTTCCGAAACTCATTGCTGTGAAATGATGTTTCAATCGAAGAAGGATCGTAGGAAGCCATAGCTTTTGATTAAGAAAAATACCGCCAGACCGTTCGGTACCAAGAACTTGCTAGGGAAGCTTCGCCGAAATTTGGAGGAACTGGAGCAGAGCGGTTAATCTAGCAATTGCTGTAGACGAAATATCACCCGAAAGTTTACTGGTCGGGTGGAAGGTGTGAAAGAATTTGGGGCACAGCCACCCGAAGGTCATGTTTTTCACCCCGACGGTGACTTGCATCTGCGTATTTATATCCCTTCCAGGCGAGATGACCATCCATTTTCATCTCTTCTCTCTTTTTGTGCCCTTCTTAGGATTCGTAAGTTGACTCTACTCGGTAAAACACAAAATATCAACGAAACTTCTACAGACGGCTGTTTCCTCATCCACAACATCAGATTAACACGATGTCTTTTCCTGAGACTTACCGTTTGGTCGATTCTCGCGGTGAACCCGTAACCCATGAACGTAACGAATCTTTCTCTGGACAAGAGTTGTACGACAACAACCCTTATCGTCCTCCTCAATACGAGGGTTACAAACCACCTGAATTGGATGCAAGATTCGCACCTCAAGGTTATGCCCCCACGCACATCGATCTGCGTAATACACGACCTCAAATCGGTCGTACGCCAAGCCCTACGCCTAGCGAGTCCCATGCATTGGCAGAGATCGGGAATCATTCCGGTTTGATCAACTGGAAGCGCATCAGCTCGAAAGATTTCTGGTTTTCGAAGGAGGGCCTTAGTAAGCTTGGGTTTTGTTTCGTTGCAAACATACTCTTTTTACACTCAATCTCAGAATATGGGCTTACCGCCGCCGTCATCATCACACTTGTGGTTCTCTTCGCGGTGTACCACACGGATATCGTTGTTTTCCTTACACCTGCCACTCAATGGTGCCATGAGTATGTTTAATTGACCTCCCGATCCTTCTGTTCCTAATCGTGGAAAATTAGCCATAAGTTTGGTTGGCTGATCCCAGTCGGAATCCTCTTTGTCCTATCTTTCCCTCCTGTACGTGTTCGTTTATGTCTCCTTTTGAATCTCATTCGATCCTGTGCTCATAGCTCTTCGGACACGAAATCATTGGTATGCTCTGTGGTATCGGCTGGAATATTGGGGTCGGTTTCGCGATCGTGGCGTTGGGCACTATGTTGGGTGAATTGGCAAACTTCTTGTGAGTTGCCCCAATACGCATTCGAATCAACAGTTTAAATTTGTGATATTCGACCAGTACGTTCAAGTATTGCTGTACTGCTCGAGCCCAAAAATACGAGAAGAAGAAAATTACGTACGCCGCTCTTGCGAGAGTAGTACGTACAGGCGGATTCAAAATTGCCGTAGCTGCTCGACTTTCCCTCATTCCTCCTCATTGTACGTCCCGATATTTTCTACTTGATGCAAGTTCTTATATGTGCTTCAGTGACTACGACTGTTTTTGCCTCTTCGGGGATGCCACTTACCACCTTCGTGGCTGCAGCCATATGTTCCCTTCCGAAACAGCTTGTGACGGTCTACATCGGTGTTCTTCTAGAAGATTCGATCGACGGAACGTCGAAAAAGGATAAGATCGCATCTATTGCTGTCGCCGTCGTCTCTGGCGTAATCACATCACTCGCGCTGAAATATGTCAACAAGAAAATGGACGAGGTCACGCCTGAAATTATCTACGAACGAAGGAAAGCTCGGTATGTTTGATTTCGTTTTTATCGTGATAGATTCGCCAATGCTCACACGTCGTGTTCTCTTAGCCAAATGGCACACTTGAAGTCGTTATCTGAGGGTAATGATACCGTTTAATGTAACGAGCGACGATGTTTCTTCATGATGGACTTATGAGATTGTAATTCACTCCAACCCACTACTGTTCACACTGTACAGTTACTATTTATTTGAGTCGTATACTCACGACTCTTCGAAATATAATAATGCGCATGCGCATAGTTGTGTAGCCCTATCCCTGGGTCTTCTATCGAGTATTGGACCTGGCTTGGCCTTTTGTCTCTCTCGTCGTAGGTCAGTAAATTCTCTGGTGCATGCTGTTCGCCCTGTTCTCATGACTGTCTGCCTCATCCCATCCCACCCCCAACTTCGAATTATCCAATCATTCCTGGCAACGTTATTCTTGTTGTCTTTGACTACTCAGCTTACCAAAGTTTCTATGCATTTACACTGCCACACGACCCAAACTCGGAAAATTGCCGACGGATAATCAAGCTAAGATACCCGACCTGGTTCTCAGTAAGAAACATCAAGAAAGCTGTCGAGGTGACGAACGTCTTATTATAGATGGAGCAAATGGGATAAGGAGAGAACATAAACTTCGACGATCCGACGGAGGAAGTTACCACGTATTTAAGTATGCACTCCCGAGGATCCTAGGTAATTCTTTATCTCTTCTTTTCTTCTCCCTCCTATACGCACAGGTGAGCGAAAAGATTTTTTCGCGAAGAACACATGTATTCAATCTAGACATAATACCAGACGATCAGCTGTCGAACAGTTGTTTCTTTCCCCCCTTTCTTTCTTCAATTTTGCCAGGAAACTATCCTGTCTTATCACCATGTCATATTATCCTGACGCTTATCGACTTCAAGACCAACCTAGCAGAGGCCATCGACATCCCAATCCATCTACTGGATCGATGTCTACAGACAATCGTCGCCGTGACTATGCTCCTCCCCAATATCGTGCCAACATTGACTCCGATGGTGTCAAACCGCCCATCTTCGAACCTCAGGGTATTAAACCACCAGACCTTGTTTATGGAGACAGATGGAATACTGTAAACGTTGCTCTGCCTCAGGATCCACGGACCCGTATTATTCGCACACCGAGTCCGACCCCCAGCGAGGCCCGTGCATTGGAAGAAATCGGTTCCACTTCGGGCTTGATAAACTGGAAACGCATAAGGTCAAAGGAATTCTGGATGTCGAAGGAAGGGTTGAGTGAGTCTCCCATGTAATACGTTCGCCGAAAAAGACTTCTGAATAGCTGCCGCCTTCGACAGAGTATGGAATTGTCGCCGCTGTCGTTATTACCTTAGTAGTTCTCTTCGCGGTGTATCACAAAGACATCGTTATTTTCCTTACACCTGCGACACAGTGGTGCCACGAGTACGTGTTTTGTTTCGATTTTCTGTTCCGTACACGGTCCTCAATTCCCGCTCTAGTCATAGATTTGGCTGGCTCATCCCCGTGGGACTGCTCATTGTTGTATCGTTCCCTCCTGTGAGTTGTTTCCTCCCATCATACCTTAGCCATACCCAACATAATTTTCAGCTTTTTGGTCACGAAATAATCAATATGCTTTGCGGTATTGGTTGGGGTATCGGAGTAGGTTTTGGTATAGTGGCCTTGGGCACTCTGTTAGGCGAAATAGCCAATTACTTGTAAGTTCGTTCAACAGGATCATATCTGGATATTTAACTGAATTATTCTGTACCAGTACATTCAAGTATTGTTGTAGTACCCGATCCCAGAAGTATGAGAAGAAGAACCTCACGTATGCTTGTCTTTCGAGAGTGGTGCGCTCCGGTGGTTTCAAAATTGCACTCGCAGCCCGCTTCTCGATTATTCCCCCTCATTGTGAGTCGAATTTCCTCATTCTGCGTTTTCCTGACACTCACAGTTCGTCCTTAGTAACCACAACTGTCTTCGCCTCCTCAGGAATGGGGTTCTATACATTCATGGCCGCGGCTGTTTGTTCTCTTCCGAAACAGTTAGTGACGGTCTATATTGGAGTCCTCCTCGAGGACTCTATCAACGGAACGTCGTCAAGAGACAAAATTGCTTCTATCGCTGTGGCCATTGTCTTTGCCGGCGTCACCTCTTTTGCTTTCCGATACGTTAACAGAAAGATGGACGAGATCAAGCCTGCAGTCATTTACGAACGCAGGAAACATCGGTGTGTTATTCTGCGGTAATCATATGTCGATTTTCATGTTTCGTCTTCCTTAGACAAGCGGCAAACTTGAAGATGCTTTCGTGAGGCGGTGGTATGGTATAATGTATTGATGACTTCGAAGACTGGGACAGATTCTGAGCTATTCTGAGTAATTGTAATTTTATCTTGATGTAGCGTGTCGCGAGCTAGTAATTATCCAATCACGAACTTCGGCCGGGGGTCATCTTAAGATATTCCTGCACCTGTATCATTGTTAAGTTGACCTTGATTTCTTCTGCTGGCTGAGCTGATCTGCTATTGAGGAACAGGCGTAGATATGTAGCTGTAGCTTGTTCCCAGGCTCATGTGCTACTTGCACAAGCTCCGTCGTTGTCCTAGCAAGCCCCCAAAAGGCTTGAAAAATGTTGATGATCGTTACTCAAGGGCAGGAGAAGTACCGTCAGTATCTGAGGGCAGTTTGATGACATCATTCCCCTCCACCGTTCAATATTGTGGACGCCATTCCTCTCTACACCTTTTTTCTCCAACGGTATCTGAACTCACCCGATCCGCATGAGTAAATAAGGTGACGTAACACGGTCGGGACGCTGTACACAGTTCAGATCTTGGTTGATTGGACAAAACTTCCTGGCTTGAAGGTTGTGCATTGCTAGTTGCAATAAGAATCGGTGTACAGCCTTCTCATATTTTTCAATTTGATTTCAATTTCAACAGGCGGGCGGACGGTTATACCAAGGCTAAACTCATGTCGAAGATGTGGTCATTCTTGCAATGCGCTGCGCTTAGATTCAAGCTAAGGCTAAGATCAAGATTCCTATCGACGGACATGTTTTTGAGCTCAATTGGTTATGCACATACATCACTATATAAAGACCTCCTCAATCTTGGTCGACTCCTTCATCATTTCTTCCAGCCCAGATAACGCCACTTAATTCTAGGTGGGTGTCAAGCTTGCTCCTCGCACTCACAGAGGCAGAGATTGACGAGAGTTCCGTTTGCCAGCTTCTATTCTTTTAATAACGACGACGACCCTTCATGTATCATCAGAGCAACTTCGTTCAACAGCCAGCACCGGTGTATAACGAAACAATGCCAATGTATGGACGATCCCAATATGACATGGCCCGTACCCCAAGTCCTACTCCTAGTGAGGAGAGGGCTATGAACTCAAGTGGGGGGTTGGTAGATCTAAGCTCTTTCAAGTCAAAGGATTTCTGGCTCTCACCAAGGGGCATTTGTGCGTGTCATTCTGTTTGCTAAATGAAGTCTTTATATTAAAGCTAACATGGATTGAATAGTTACCGCAATCGGTCTCCTGGTCATTGGGGCCCTAGTTATATGCTTTGCGATATTACACAAGCAAATCATTATTGGTCTTGAGCCTGCAACGAATTGGGCGAAACGGTAAGTCCTCAAAAACCTCTCACACCCTAGCTGTAACCAATGGTTGGTAGTCAAACTGCGGGTTGGCTCATTCCAGTAGGGATTCTCGTTGTTCTGTCCTTCCCGCCGGTATGTCTATCGATTGCTGCTTCGCCTCAAGGTTGACATCAATCATCAATATAGTTATTTGGACACGAGATCATAGGTCTATTATGTGGAGTGACATGGGGCATTGGCGAAGGTTTTGGGATTATGGCATTGGGCACACTTTTGGGCGAAATCATCAACTATTTGTGAGAAGCCCTTTTCATCTGCGCATGCTTTAGCTGATTTTGATTTTGACTGACTTCATGTTCTCAACGATCCAGCGTATTTAAATTTTGTTGCACCTCTCGTGCAAAGAAATTGCAGCAGAAAACCATTATGTATGCCTGCTTTGCGAAAGTAATCCAGGATGGTGGATTTAAGGTCGTGCTTGCGGCTCGATATTCGATCATCCCAGCTCATTGTGGGCCAATCTTTCATTGACCCTTGACGCACCCCGTTTCTTACGCATCTCAACAGTAACAACCACCATCTTCGCAGCTTCTGGGATGAAGTTTTACATCTTTCTTGCTGCTGCTGTCCTTTCACTGCCGAAACAACTCGTCACTGTATACATTGGCGTCCTCATGGCTGACTCAGTCGATGGCACCGACAAGAAGGACAGGATCGCGTCTATCTTGGTGTCCGTAGTTAGTTTCATCGTCACCTCGATTGCGTTGAGGATAATTAGGCAAGAGACAAACAAGATCAAGCCTCAGGTCATATATGAACGCAGAAAAGCTCGGTACGAACTTTGTTTATGGGTCACACAGTTCGACACTGATCCTTTGACGTTTAGCCAAGCAGCGAACTTGAAAATGCTTCAAACTGACAGCGACGAAAACGTATGAATATAGGCGTAGATATATCCACCTACCTCTGATATTTGAATGATTCTCATTTTATGTCTATTCTTCTTCGAATCTATGTACTTCCAAAACATTGGGTCACCGCAATTGCTTGACTTCTGGGACTGTAGTAAGCTTTGTAGTAGCTTTCTTGCATTTATGTAGTAATGCATTTTTTATCATTGAACATCCAACTCTGAGGTAACAACCCGAAAAAGCATAAGCGTTTTCTGGTAGAATAAAGCCCGCCTGAGGGTGGAACTTCTGCTGACAGTGTATATTAGATATCAGGGTTCTACATTGTGCGCTGTCGTGCGCTTCTCGCGTCGAATCGGCTGGCTAGCTGCTAGTCGGTCGCGGGAGAAATAATCAATCGTTCTGGTATATGAAAATGAAACGAATCTGGAGTACATGGTCCATATTCGAACGAGACGACCGTGTGTCCTAAAGCAACTTGAGCCGCTCGTTATCCTGACGTGAGGGCGCCAGTGTCGAATTAGGCATGAGGGCTTGACGCTCATTATCGTGCAGTTGAGTCGGCAGATGCAAACATCAATGAATGTGAACGATTCTGCAATTGCATTCAGGTGAACTTGGGGAGGGCGCATTTCCTAGTCATCTGAATATAGGACTATGAAGGGACCGACGTCGGTAACTGACATAGATGCGCGCCTATCTTCTTTTTTAAGCTACAGCCTACAGGTCATACCAGGACCTTGAGGCTCTCTCGAGCGGTCATGATCAGATTATAGAATGGCGAGTAACAGCGAATAGTTTGCCGTATCGATGAACTCGTGGACTACTCGTTAATACTTGCGCGTCCAGATATAGCCGGAAATTTACTGGGAGCTTGGGCTACTACTTAGTCCTTACCTGAAAAATGCGAGTCCTATGTCCTCTGCCTCATCTTCGGGGAGGAAGAATGGGCATTGGGGAAGGATGTCGTGAAGTCGGGGAACTGATGTGACGTGAATCTTTGAGCTGGTGAAACTGGCGGGCATGTGTTACCGGTTCGGCGGTGGTTAGCTCCTCCCCGCAAGTTACAGTTGTGGCACTTTTGTTGGTAGTCTACGTCTCGAGAAGTTAAGCACAGTTAAATGAAGTAGCACAGGTTCACAATGGCCATTCGAGTAAAAATAATCTTGAATCTCAGTCTGTGGTAATTAAAGGCTATGTCGAGAAAAACAACACTGATCAACAAAGACCTTGGCACTAGCCTAACAACCCTTCTTACTTTCTTCCACCATCTGCTTCATACTTTTACTCTATTTAATACTCTCCTCGCCGGCGAAACCTCTTTGTAACGAAACCACTTGACGAGGACCAGTCTGCTCACGAATTAGCTCAATTACTCGCCGTGCTGGACAGTATAATGGCATCAAATCACCCAATTTCCAACCTGCCCTATGATCACCAATCACATACTCAACAGTACTGGAACTCGAATGGGCAATATCCTCCTATGAACAACTATCCAAAGCCGTCTTCAGGGCTATACGGCTCAGGATTACCTTTGTCTGCCAATGTGCATCTTGACCCTCGGGCTGGCTTGAACCGCACACCGAGCCCTACTCCGAGTGAAGCGAAGGAGTTACAGACTGGTGCTATTGACTTCAAGGCTATGATGAATTGGCGGTTCTGGATACGGAGAGAATGGCTTTGTGCGTCATAATATCTGCTGCTTGACCAATATTCATTTGTAGTTTGTCAGGGTATTACGTTGCCCTTGTTATCATCACTGTCATTACCGCCCTCATAACAATCTTCCATGATCAAATTGTCGGCTGGTTGACTCCTTTTACTCAGTGGCTACATGGGTATGTCGCCAATCCACACTTCTGCCTCGAGGCGAAATCTCATGGGTAAATCAAATCTTAGTCTCAAATTTGGCTGGCTTGTTCCTATAGGAATTCTGTTTGTGCTATCCTTCCCCCCGGTACTTCTATTGAGCCCACCTTCTATACTCGAACTTAACCTACTCGTCAGCTTTTTGGTCACGAAATTGTCGCTATTCTTTGTGGCCTCGTCTGGGGTCTATGGATTGGCTTTGCAATCGTAGCTGCTGGTACATTTATTGGTGAAATAGGAAATTTCTAGTAAGTGCCACACGTTCTGGTGTCGGTTTATCTCCATGACGGGTTCTTGTAGTGCATTCAAATATTGTTGTCGCGCTCGGGGAGAAAAGATGGAAAAGACCAATATATCTTACGCTTGTCTTGCCAAAGTTGTCCGTGATGGTGGTTTCAAAATTGCCCTGATCGCTCGCCTTTCCGCAATTCCAGGGCATTGTGTGTTCATTCTGCTTTGTTTCCTTTCTTTTGTGACATTAATCATCTACAGTTACCACCGCGGTATTCTCTACCTGCGGAATGAATGTCTTCGTTTTTTCTATAGCCGCTATCCTTTCGCTTCCTAAGCAATTCATCACGGTCTATCTTGGTGTCATTCTGGGAGAGGCTGCTGGACAGGAAAGTACCAAGCAGAAACTCATTTCTGATGGTGTGGTTGCGATCACCGTGATCGTCACTATCGCCGCCTGCTGGTATTTATTGCGCAAGATGAACCAAGTCAAACCTGATATTATTTACGCGAGGAGGAAGGCTCGGTACGTGCAAGTAATTTGTTTGTGTGGACGTTCCTAACCCCTAGTTTAGGCAAGCCAAGTTGAACAGCGGTAGTATGTATAGTACTCCCAATCTCAGTGGATCAGATATATACAATCCAAATGCTTCTGAAACCAACATTCCTCTTACTGCGAAGAAGAATCAATTTGGATATGGAGCAGGTCAAAGTCAACCTTACCCCTTCAGCAGCGAATATCAGCGATCGAGCATCGGCAATAATATTGTTTACGCTCCCAAACCACAGCACCGCTACTCACCCGATAATCAGTACGGTAACGACGATCCAGAACTTGGGCATGTACCTCCAGGAGCTGCTGCTGGTTCTCAATACAACTATACTCCGACGAGGCAAACCTCCGACGAAGTAGGATTCGATGCAGCCGGTCAGGCAGGTGTCGGCTCCGCAGCTTCCAGTCAACAGCCGAGTCCTCGGATTCCTCCCGGGGTATCGAATTTACCAAGGACACAGTCTCCCGAAACTATTCCCTCATCGCAGCCCATATCTCATAACCAATCTTCCTCATACCCACAGTCTTCACAATACAATTCCTCCTCATATCATTCATATTCTTCTCAAACAACCCCCTCTCCTTATCCCACTTTCACTCCACCGCCCTCACATCAACAGCCTTATACCCCCCACTCATATCAGCCTGAAGTCGTACAAACGCCTACTCAAGCGCAGTTCGTGACGTATAATCCAAGTGCAATCTCATCGGAGCGATTACCTACACCTGGTTATCACTCGAACTCTACTCCGATGAGTCCAGTCGGGAAGGGGGCGCACTCGCCGGCGGTCAGTACGCCGACGCAATACGTAACGCAGGCCTATGCGTCACAACACGCATATGAACCTACAGACGCAACGTATCATACTGCAATGGCGAGTTCGGACAGTGTTAATTTCCCACCAGGCGGGCATGTACATTCGCAGGAACCGCCGCCCCCTAGTTATTTCTAAGGTTTGAAATGATTATTTGTGAACCCCGCGCAGGCTGGCTGCTATGTGTACTCCCTCGGCCATTCGTTGCTGTTATGGACAACTCTACAAATTCTGGCACTGTATCAATCTTTAAGTCACGCTCACGACTCGTTGTAGCTCGTCTCGTACTTGACATTGCTATCATCTATACTTTACCGAAGTAGCCTCCCTATACTGATATTATTGAAGAAGTACAAACTCGTTAGTATCTTATCTCTGACTCGGACTGTGTAGATAATCTTGTCGATCTTTCTTGTGCTACGACTTCAAAATAACTTTTTTCATTGTGTCTGTACGTGACTTCCTGTGACCTTCCGGTTTGTTCTTGATTTGAACTGGGAATATCGAGTTCTCCAATGTAGACTGGAAGAGGTTTCATATGTACAGCTTTGTCCATAACGTAAGACAACGATGACAGGAAGATCCGATCACTGGAAGGTCAAAATGAGGATATTGGTTTTTCATCCTTCAAGTGAGTAACTAATTTCGTTCGTAGGCATGCTTTTCTGTAATTCAAGCAATCTGCCAAGCATCCTTTTGCCTCTGGGTGTCAACTGATCTTTAAATCGTTTGTCGTTCACCCACGACAGCCCATGCTGGAGTATATTGCGTCCTCGAGCAGTCCCATAACGCGCGTCTGCTGTACATGCATGAAGAGTAGCTCGTTTGACTGTATGGTCGTATGCTGCACAATGGAGGATGTTGCTGTTGTAAAAAACGGTTTCCCCCGCTAGAATACGGACGAAGAGTGGAGTCAATTCTCTAAAGGTAGCTCAGTGAGGCGAGTAACATACGTTTCAAAGTCAGTAAAACTGCACCGGGCATATCCAGAGGATCGCTCGGTGGATCTATAGTACACGAATGGACTCGCTGCTCAGGTGTTCGTGCAATTTTGTGAGATCCAGGTACGACATATAGACACGAATCTTCGTAAAGAGCTCTGTCGATGATACGTGTAACATATAAATCACAAACGAGCACAGTCAGGAGAACGACTCATACGTATTCCATTGTATCTGTGCATCATATATCAGATTTCAGTAAAACTAGAGCCGTGTAGGGTACAGACCCCTGTATGCCATTTATCAAGCGCGGCTTGCTCTTCTTCCGGAAGAGCATTCTCCTTCACATCATCTCGATGCCATCGAAGGGCAAAGCTGTGTTCCAAAGGGTTAATCAAAAGGTTGAAAAGCTCTGCAATAAGATGGAAGCGATAAATAACCTGGACAGATCGAGTAAAAAGGGATAAACGAACCTAACTGCAAATCTTCTTCTCCACAATGCAAAAGATCAGCGCATACCTATGCATGTATATATCTATAATTATTTGTCCTTATCGATAAGGACATCGATTGCATACCCTCGTTAGATCATCAGAAGTATACCAGTTGGAGAATACGATGGCGGATCCTTGTAGGTCAGGATGCATAACATGTTGAACGCCCCATGAATCAGGATTATCGTTATCAAATGGAGGAAATTGCTTTCCAACCGTTCTACGATAAGGCCAAGAACCCTCACGAGCACGATTAATAACAAGATCGGAGGCCTCTTGTAGCTTCGAGAAATCGTGAAGAGAAACAAGCCCTGGAACAACAACAAAACCTTGGGAATCGTAGGTATCCTTGATGGGGGACATGATAGAAATCAAGAACTGAATTTTTCGCACGCCGTACTTCCTCGATGGCATTGAGTACATGATTCCTGTAGCCCCTACATCGACTTCCTTTATACAACCGGAGCCTCAGAAAAAGCCTCAAAATGCATTGAAATTGTTTGCCTTGAAGCTCCGAGAAATTGGTGGCCTTCCAGTTACAGAATTCCTCAACACCCCCGAGGAAGAGTTACCACGTATTCGTTATGATTTTGGTTTTCCAAATACTACATCTCCATGGTATTATACACCCCAAACTCAAGAAGCAGCGGCATCTCCAGGGGTTACTGCTGTCCAGCAACTTGAAAATGCTTGTCGGGAGGCTTTTGGGAGGACGGATGTACTTCAATACAGCGTTTCTCTTAGTGGTACCATTTACTCCCTACAATCGTTTATATTTTAGTTGAACTGATGCTCTTACCAATAAAGAACCCGGTATGAGCAATGTATTGCATATCGTCAAAAACAGTGGCATGCGACGAACATATACGGGCACGTGTGAACACAAAACAGAGGTACAAGCAAGAGAGGAGGTGGCTCAAATCGCCCTGCGAGAAGGGGCTTTGGCCTATATCTTGGACTCCGAGCCAGATGAGCAGCTAAATTCAAAATTTGGGGAGTCGTCCAATCCAGTACAGATGATCGAGGATTGCTTTGCTCGATGGAGGCGAGGACTCAAGCCACCTCAATGGTTCACTTATGGTCCGTAAAACATCCGTATTCTCAATAATTCATCTCACACGTTATCTAGATCATGGCGCAGCTCTGAACGTCCAACTCGCTTCTCCTCGAATGCGTCGTGTCTATTCTACTCCCGAGAACACCAAGTCAGATGCGCAAGTTGTATGCGCCCAAACCGCGATCGATTATGGTGTTTTAGATTTCATTAAATTCGGTGGTGGACAAGTTCGTCCTTCTTCACCGAATCCACCGACGTCCGACAGAGGAATCGCAATGGTGTGGTCAAACGTGCAGGAATTCATCAACACTCTTCCCCGGCCGTTTCCTGAGTCCGAATTCGAAGATAATCCTCAAAAAGTCGAAGACGGAATCTTGCAATGGTTCAATAAGTTGCGCCAAGATGCCAACAAGGCGCGCGCCCATCCACTGGGATTTCACTTTCATTTTCTGCAAGTTAAACATGGTGAGGTGCCTGTGTTTTTGTACTCGCAATTCCTCTCATCGATATCTTGGTCGATCAGCGTATGGTTGTGTTCTCCGTATTGAACCACCCCCATCAGATTCAGACCCAAAACACGCTCAAACTTACCTGGTTGAGCCACGTTTCTCCAAAAAAGCTAAATCCAAAGTTGGCGTATGTATTCAGGCTATGTCAGAGGGTGTCGGAAGTTTCCTGCGTGCATATGTCCCCGATACCAAAACCACATCTCCCGGAGTAAATAGCTTAGTCACTTTGGAAATGCAACGCTTTGTGAACGAAACAATGTGGCCTGCGCTGGAGGCCGCTTGTCGAGAGGTAAGCCCAGGAGCTGCCATCACCACTCAGTATCCGAGAAGCGGAGGCAGTACGTGCAGTTTTTGGCCGTGTTCTCTATGTCTTAGTCTGAAAAACATTTAATAGTTGGTTGCATGATCAAGATAGTAGTTCATCCTCTTCCCAGCAGGACATCTGGTGTGGGGTTGAACACATCCAGCAGCGTCTCGCACACGTACAGTGTACCATCGGTATACTCCTCCCGCAATGATGCACGCATGTCGTTGGTGTGTGAGGCAGGCGAGAGAATGCTACAGTTTATCAAATCCCGAGGAGCTCCTCCTCCTTCTGACGATCCGCCACGTCCTGTGAAAAAGCCGAGGCTGGAAAAATTGATGGCCGCACCCATGCATTCAATTGCGCGCGCTCAACCAAAGACTGAAGCTAAGAGAAAGCAGGGCGAGAAACGGTTTCAAATGCAGGCAAGTGCAGTCCCGAAATCGATAAAAAAACCAAAGGATTGGGACAGCGATACCAAACAGCCCAATATCGACCTTGCATACGAGCTTGAGCCGGGCGAAATCGTTGCAGATGACGAGGTAACTGTGGCAGGCCCAAGCACGTCTTCAATCCCTCTACGTTCTATGTATTCAGCCTCATCTATGTATTCTTGGTCTCAGCCGTCTCAATCAAGTTTGTCCTGTTTCTCTATCTTTGAAACAATTTACGCTGATTTCTGGTTAGCTTCGAACCTGAAACGGAAGCGCGAAACGGACGGAATGGAATGAGGATAGTAGGTGAACAAGTTCTGAGATATAAAGCGGAGTAATTCTGTTCTAATAGTGTTCTAATAACATACATTCTTCCATAGAAATGACCACCGGTCAGCTGATGTTTATGCGTTCCGTTCAATGCAATGCTTCGAGAGATCCTCGGTCCGTCTATGGAGTAGGAACCTTTAAGAGCAGTTAAACTAGTTTATGCTCATTTGCGAGAGCTTTATTTTTTTCCGTCATCTGATGGCACCTTTACTTCTGCTCAAAAATCTGTGTTTTACGATTTTCTTCACTTATTTCCACCTTGCGCTTTCGGGCACCGTTCGGCGAGCGGGGTCGACATGTACGGTTAATGCCAGTACGAACGGCTCTGATGATGCACCTGCGATTCTGGAAGCTTTCCAGATGTGTGGGGACAATGGCGTTATCCAGTTGCATGATCCCTTGTATCATATCGAGACTGTGATGAACACTACGCGTCTATCGAACGTCCGGATTGATTTGACAGGAACTATGCTGGTGGGTCTCAGGCTGTTGTAGATGTAAAAGGCCGTATTCAAGGCTTAGTAGTGGGGAACAAATCTTACTTACTGGGTTTCTTCTGGTTTACCTTTGGGATACCTCAATGCAACTACCGCTTGGGCGCTTGGAGGTGATCAAATAACATTTGACGGTCATGGTGTTGGTACATTAGATGGTAATGGCCAACTTTGGTCGGTAATTTTATCTTATGATACAAGAGTCATACTGATGTTGATCTTCATGTAGGTACAACTTGGCCGATGGTGTATCCAACTATCCTGGACGGCCAATTAACTTGTTGATCGCCAACTCAACGAACTCCCTTTACACGGGTATACGTTTCATACAATCCCAGTATTGGACCATGGCAATTCAGAATTCAGAAGATGTCCTACTGGATGGAATATACGTCAATTCGACTTCTAACAATACTGTGGGTTCTTTCCCAGTTGAATCGGCAAACTTTATGACCTTTTTAGGTTCCTGCGAGGAATACAGATGGCGTAGACACTTTCTTCTCCAACAGGATAACCTTTAGAAACTGGACAGTTGTTAATGGAGATGATTGTATCTCGTTGAAAGCTAATTCTACCAACATTTTGATTCAAGATTCTGTTTTCCATGGAGGTCTCGGTGTTTCTGTCGGGTAAGCTTTACCCTTTTGTGCTGCTAAAAGATGCCGATCGTTAACGGAAAAAAAGCTCCATTGGCCAATACGACGGAGTTTTCGAGATGATTCAGAACGTCACGGCAGAACGAGTACTCGCTCTTGGTTCACGATATGGGGGATATATCAAAACTTGGACTGGTGTTCCTCAAGGCTTTCCACCCAATGGTTAGTCTTTTTCAGTTTATAGGGTGATTGATCGGTGATTTGACCGGTTGCTTTGCAGGAGGTGGAGGTGGCCTTGGATTTGCCACGAATATCAGTATGTTAGCTTCCCTCTATACGTTGCTGTTTCTTCAGAGACTAACAGACCCGGAAAGCTTTCAGGGACTTCACACTTCAGAATGTTACTGACAATGTTGCTCTGATCACACAGTGTACTTCTTTTGAGGGTGCCACTGGTGATTGTGATACTTCTCTGTTCCGTTTATCAAACATTACTTGGGGACCTGGAATATCAGGAAGCATTCAAAGTGATACACTAGCTACAATGCAGTGTAGTGGGGACGCTCCTTGCTCTGGCATCTCACTACTTGGTTTTGACAACGTAGTCACAGTGGGTGCGCGAGAGATCGATTGTAGCAACGTCATAAACTCAACTGGGTTCAACTGCACGTAGATAATCAATGTCATCACTGTGTTTTTATATCCTATCCTATTCAATAGTTAGGACCGATGTCTACTAATATTTTACAAAATGGGGGCATGCAAATATGATACAACATACGCTGATCGCAATCAAGGAGACTGGGGAACGTCTGGAATCTGCCGAGAACGGCGTTCATAAGGTGGGGGAAGCTCACGAACAAAACGTCCGCCATCTTGGTGCTGGAAAAGATACTCTGGATCACCTGCGGGCGGTGTAATCATAGGAGAAGGGAAGGACGCAGAACGCGTCGGCACAGACGGCGGCGGTGCTCCCCTTGGTTGTGCAGATAGGCTACGTTCAAAGGCGAATCGATTGTGAGGCGTAGGCGTGGATTCTGTCAAATCGGCGCTGACCAAATTGGAAGACGTACGCCCAGCTTCGATAGCCTTTTTGTTCGAGTGACGAATAGATGAAGTTGGGAAGTTGACGAATCCTCGCCGGCTAGTAGAAGAGGCTAAGTCACTCGTATCACTCAGTGCCACACGTGTGCGCTCAGCCTCTGTGAGGAAAGGGTTTAGAGAAGGATCAGCTGCTGGAGAAATAGATAACATTTGATTTTCCAGGACAGCACTGCTTCCAACGAGCACCCCAGCGCCAGCCTCCTCCACAACTTTAGGTTCAGGCAGAACGAGTGGTTCCGGTGCCAATTCTTTTTTCGACCTCTGTTGTTTAATGTAATATCGATAGGCAATGAACGCGCCACCGAATATCAGAATCGAGAGGGGAATGAGGATTCCAGCAAGAGTTGCAATCTGTCTGCGTTTCGCTTTTGCGACAGCGCCGGCTTGAGCATCCTGCTCCTCATTTAACAACACCGTATTTCCAGGTGAACTATTCAGGCCAACACAAGAGACATCTTCCGATCCTCTAGGCATGATGGTAGGAGTGCCAAATGCATAGCGGCCCGTTCTGGGTTCAAGATGACAGTTAAAGCTAACTAGTCAGAAGAAAAAGTAGTAGGTCACTCACACATCGCTCACAGCAGCTTCAAGACAAAAATTAATGAAAATAGTCAGCGAAACGAACCAAGTTGGTTTTGAGTAATTATTTACCTAGAAGAAGATAACCCGGCGTAGCTCTATTGATGTAGGTGAATGCATCATTCGGGCTTGGTATTGTTACATTAGTGACCACCGGAGAATTGAACTGGGCAAGAGAAAGATTGTAAGGAGGAACTCCGCCATGTATTCTTAGACCATATGGTTGGCAGGTGTTTACGGTGCCAGTAATATTGGCGGAGACAGTGAAGTCGCTTTGGTTGGAATTCACGATACACTCTGTGCTTTGCCCAGCTATGATAGAAATTTATGAGTAGGGATGTTCGCAGGCAAGGTTTACAACACAACACACATTGAACCGTGTAAGCCTGTGGGGGGACGCCTCCGCCATTACCCTGAGAGTCTACGACGTTGAGCATTAATGAGGCACCTGTTCACAACGAAGATATGATAAACGGAAAATGGAGCACTGATAATCGGAGACGCCACTCACCCACTGGATGATCCACTGTCCAACTTAGACTAGTCTCGTTCAGCCCTAGTAGCGTCGTTCTTGGCGTACCGCCGATTTCCCAAGCGACCATATAAAACGGAGGAATACCATGTGTGATGTTAGTCGCATTCACTGGTTCAACGGTAATGCCAAAGGATTGACACGATGGAAGTTGGGGACCCAAGAACTGCATGGTGAATGAGAATGAGTATATCAAGTTATCATAATTCGATAGGAACAGAAACTTGCATTATCAGAAAATTTCCACTGGAATAAGTTCGTATCCGGTGGCATTTGAGCATTGGCTGTTATCGTCATCAAAAGGAGCACGAAGGAGGCGAAGGGGGTAGAAGACAGAGAAATTGCGTTCAACAAGGACCGGTAATCCATTGTCTATACGCAGAAAGAAGAAGGGAGTACAGAAAGAACGAAGGTGTATGAAAATGAAGGTAGAAACGAGAAAACGAAGGAATAGTTTCTGAGGACAACTTCAAGAATCGCGGCGGCTAGCGCATATAGATGAGCAAAATCTAAGTATATGAGTTATTATCAGTATAGACCCAATGTATATGAATTCTGGCGATGAGGTGTTGAGGAGCACCGGCAAGGAGTCCGAAATTCAGCGACCACAAACAGAACACTCACTACTTCAAGATATAAAGAACGGTCCACACTCTGACCGAACTCAGTATACCAAAAGGGCTCGACCCGATGAAGGCTTTTTCAAACAATTCCGAGAGAATCCAGGATAAAAGCACCACTACCAAGATGGTCGAGGTTAAGAAAAGGGTATCGAAATGACAGATGGATAGTAGCGTCACGTCATCCAGAGTATCGGAACCACTCCCATTCGTCCCTATACTTCCCATTGATGTGACAGCAGAAAGTCAGCCGTGATTGGGCAATTTCTATCTTGTTGTGAGTTAGATAGGAAACAGCTTTTGTCGTATATTTCCCTCATAGCTTCAAGGTCCTTGATGATGATTTTCATGGTATTTTTGGGTGCCCGAATGTGTCCGACATGACATGATGTGATGATGGTTGCATTTGATCTGACTAGTTAGTTGTAGAATCAACTGAAGATGTTTCGCAGTGATTGTTCTGACAGGCAGGGTGAAATCAAGTTGAGGTAGCTGCGACCCAGGACAAAAGAAGCCTCCGTCCTGATCGCAAATGTTCCCACAAGTCAAAGCCTGGCGTGAACTTTCCCAGTTCATCTGCCTTGCACGTTACGAGACGCACCAGCCCCGAAACAAACGCCCCCATTACTTAGCTCGAGGGCCGGACGATTAAAAATATACACGTTCAGTCAAATTCGTCCTGTCGACGTGTACGGTTGACGAACCTTCCATGAGGGCGCTTTTACATATGTACCCGATTTATTTTTGGAAATGCTCTGTCCGATGTATTTTGGCTGGCTAACTCAGACCAAGGAAATTCATTCTGTTTGGGTAACTGCTTGTAGTCGCAGTAATATTGGATATCGATGTCTTTGTGCAATACATAGTTGTATTTTTCATGCTTGGTTTAACTGAAGTTTCCATTCTGGAATTAAGCCTTAATTGGGACACATGATTCCTGTTCAGTGCTCTTAGAAATCATGCAGGACGTGTCATGCTACAGCTTTGAGTCCTAATAGATATGCTACAGCATTGCATACTGTGTAGCTCAGATATGCCTTCTGATGAACTTGAAAACTTCTCTGTAGATTATTGTTTTGCCTATAAAGTTCCAAGATATGGGCAAGGGTTCCTCAGGGTCCCCTGACTGCTGACATATGGCAGCTATCCTACTTGCATCCCTTGTTCTTCCTGGAGTTGCTTTTCCTACTCCTATCATCAAAGATGCAAACAGCTTCACCCCATTTGACTCTGGAAGCTCTACATACACAACAGCTGGGCCGAACTTTGATCTCTTACATCCATCTGCTACGATATTCCCACAGTTTCAAACCGAGAGAACGTACAAAAAAGATAGGACACGACTCAAGTAGTAGGCAATTAAACAAAAAATCTCAACCAAAAAGAAGGCCTAAGGTATAGGGCCAGCTGCTATATACCAACACCGCTACGAAATGTCATGACAATTGACGCTGAGTAGTGCCGGAACTTTGAGACAAGGAACTCCGAATAAGACAAGACCAGAATCGGTAAACAAAATACTAGAGCCAACAGACACTGATAATACACCAACAGTGACAGCTACAAAAGAACAGATAGCCAGGGAGTACCTCACCAGCAAAGCAGCCATTATAGGCACAAATGCGCTATTGACCAAGGAAGACATATATGATGCCATGCTACGGGCTACCAGGCTGCCCAAGAAGGAATTAGATGTCACACTCAAAACGGTGGAGCATGGGATCACGCTATTGAGAGATATTGATGAGAAACGAAACCAACATCAACTACTAGGTGAAATAAAAGGTGCAGTTGAGTCATCATTCGTGAAACTAGACACAGAAAAACAATTACAGCACCAGCTCACACAGGTCAGGAATGAATTCAATGAAAGGCTGGACTTCATCGCGGCCAACATCAATGGAACAGAAGAGAAGATTGACTCTATTGCTAAGAACAGCCAGCCAGCTGCACCTGAAGCCTCCTATGCCGACGTCGCGCGAACAAATGGTAAAAGAACAATGGCCCCGACACAGGCCATGACGTGGCAGAGAATGTGTGCTCACGTTGAAGTAAAGCACTGAACATAGGGAATGAGGCAGGGAAGGAAATTATCAGCAAAAACTCGGGAGAGATTCTGGAATACCTTAATAACATGCTAATAAAGATGGGTGCCCTGAACAAGGGCACTTTTGTCTCTGCAATGAAGCTAAAGAATACTGATAATCTCCTTACAGAAGTGAGCTCGCCCAAGTTAGCAGACTGAATCCATCAAGTTGAACAGATGATACAATTCACGACACTCTCTGGCCAAGCACTAACAATTGCCGACAAGGAATACGAGATCATACTACATTTCGTACCAATAACCTTTGGTGCAGATGATGCATTTAAGCTGCAACGACTAGAGGACATCAACAACCTTCCAACCTGTTTTATCACCCGGGCAAAGTGGGCCAAAGCAATGCAGAGACGAACGGAAGGACAACATGTTGCAAGTCTCCTTCTGTACCTCAACAACGCAAATGCTGCAAACTAATTACTGTTATCTGGCGTAGTCATAAGTAATAAGAGAGTCCAAGCCGAGAAAACAGTTAAAGAAGAGAGAAGGTGTTACAAATGTCAGTGATTCGGGCATATAGCAGGACAATGTACTGAAGGAGACAAAAATATCTGTGGTAAGTGTGGAGAACATCACAACACTGCTGACTGCTCTTCTGAAAAGAGATACTGCATCAACTGCAAAATCAATGAACATGCCAGCCTAGACTGCAAGTGCCCGACTTTTCAACAAAAATATAAGTTACTTAATAAGCGTTCCCCAGCTAATTTACTGCCGTTCTTTCTGAGTGACGAGGAGTGGACCTGGGTCGAAGAACCAGACAATGCACCTAGGACAGGACCACCACCAAAAATTACTTTTCATCAGGAACGACATCAGCATTACCAAACATGATAATGAGCTTGCCTCGTTTTTGTGTGAAAGAGAAAGGAAGGAATCTAATGGGCACTCCAACCAACCAATCTAATACACAATATGTGAGTTCACTGCTATCAAATTTATTTAATAGCAAGGGGTAGCGTTGGCAAAGGTTCCGCAAAGCTTTAATCAATCAATTTGAATCATTCTAAGGATTCGATATATTCCTTTGATCAAGGTAGATTCAGCACGATTTGTGCTTTGATTGTATTGATATGGGTATATCAAGAATTGGGGGTTTGAATCAAAGTAAATTAAAACCGAAACACACAGACCCCTACGGAGGGCTAGAACTATGTGCTGGCACAACCACACAGCGTGATTTGCCCTTAAGACCAACAACTGATCCTAAGTTCGAAGAATACCCAACAACTGGATATACTTCTCGCAGTCACAAGGAGCAGAACACAACGTTCCTATACTCACAAGTGCCGGGCCCGAATGGCTGCTAGCAAAGAGGTTTCAGTCTGGCGGGAGTGTGTCTTTCCTTTTTACGGATTAGCACTGCAACGTCGTCCCAAAATCACTTTTATTCCAGATACATCGGATCGCTATTTATACATACAGAATATAGAGTCGCACAGTACAATTAATTTAATACAATAAATGTTCGGAACCGCAAGGAAGCTTCTACACTCGGTCTGATACCATTTAATTTGAATCTACATGTCCTTATTTGGTCCATAATGGTTCCAAGATTCAAGTATACCTCCAAACATAGGTAGGTACTTCGTTATTCATTTAATTTAATTGTTTTGGAGAATGACTCGAATGGTGTTCAACTGTCATTGCTGTTCAACACTTACTTCGATCGTTTGTCACCTTGTCCGGAGGCAAATCAGCTCTCCTCGATTCTAATCCTATCAATCTGATTCATCTGGATTAAACTAATTGCTTCTCTCTTTCAATAGACACCCATTGTGCCTATACTCTATCAAGGGAGTTACGCATAGTATTCATTTAATTGCATTCTTCAATATTTTCTACGTTAGGACTCTTTGACATTCATTTGATATGTCTTCGGAGCCTCGCAGTACTTCGATCGTTCTTCTAGTCATTTTCCTCAACCATGCAACTTGATTGGTCTATTAGACTAAATCACAGTCTTCTAGATTAATGCATGATCTCGTTCTAGAAGGAGTATTTGATAATTCCTGAGTTCTAGAAAGTCATTTCGAGTCAATCCTCGGCTCATGGTCACTTGAGTAAGTTCTTCCAAACTCCTGCCAGTGTAAAGTCCAATAAGAATACCCTTGGTATGTCATACGTGAATGGTCGTCCTTCGGATGTAGTCCAAGTCTGGTATAATCCTGCTTGACAAACAGGTAGACTGCTATCCGAAGGTAGTATCAGGGATGGGTAAACTAACCAATGCGTGGTAGTATGGGTATATGGTCCCTTCAACTTATTAGACTGATTCAGTATTGACTTTGACTGTCAATCTGGGTCTTAATTACAGTCCTCTCGATACAAATCTATATGTGAAAATGTCACAATTCACAGCATAGACGTCTAGCCAAAATTTAGGCGTGTCAACGACTCACCGGCTGGCAGCAGAACAACCAACCCAACGTAAATATGCTCCCGTTAGGTGGTCCTCTACGTTGGGGATCACAAGAACCTATAGGGTTGCAAAATGTAACAGCAAATATAAATGACAAAAACTAGGGAAGTCTATGTTAGAAACAGAACACTATACTGACAAAGTAAAAATCATACAGATGAACTTACACAAATCAAAAACAGTTACCTTCGACCTAATCAACAAGCCCGAGAGCGCAAACACACTATCCAAGACTATGCATACAGGAGCACTGGACAGATAGAGTAGGAAACACACGAAAAAGCTCGCGTTGGCACATCGTATATCCCTCGTCAAGACTCAGCATGGAGAGTGGAGTGCTATTGTGAAGTATAATCCTCATCAACCGGAAAATCTCCAGTAACGTCTGGCGTCAGATCGATATCTTGGGTACAAATGATATCACAGAAATACTACTAACTGGCCCCTTTGGAAAACTAGGGATCTTCAACATATACAATGACGGTAAACATTCACTCACACTAACAATTCTAAGACACGCAATGGACGCACTCCGCCAAGCCGTTCAACCTGACAAGGATCTTCACGTCATCTGGTGCGGTGACTTCAACCATCAACCCAGCGAACCACCATCTCTTTACTCCTGCTGCCATGGAGGAGGCTGAGAAACTGATATACCTAACTTATACTTAGGGGCTTGAGATGTAGCGCCAGAAGAAATGACCAATGGTGCGGATCACATTCCCGTCTCCATGATACTGAGTCTCTCTCTCCTACAAGTGAAATCCTCTCCCAAAAGAAACTTCAGAACTATAAACTGGGAAACCTTCAATGAGCACTTTGCAGAGAACTTGAGAAAATCCCTCCACCATGTGAGCTAACAACGCAACAACTACTGAATGTAGCTGTACAGGATATCACAAGAACAATACAGCTGTCCATTGAAAAAGCAATACCACTTAGCCAGCTGTACCCAGCATCAAAAAGGTGGTGGACAAGTGAACTCTCCGAGATGAAGAAGGCCCTCAACCAGCTAAGTGCAAGGTCCTATAAATTCAGAGCAATCCCTGATGATGATTCACACAGAGAACTCAGGGAACTATGGACGCAGTACAAGGCCCTGATTTTCAAGGAAAAGGAGGACCACTGGAAAGACTTTCTAGATAATGTTGATACTGACTCTATATTTACAGCAGCCAAGTACGCCACTACTCCCAACATAGATCAAAATGCAGCAACAGTCATTCCAGAACTGAAGGCCCTTGACAAAAACTAAGCAGTAAGGCAAATAGCAGCCCTATTGGCAGAAACTTTCTTTCCCCCTGCACTGAGAGATTACTCATTAGATTGCAATCCCTGTAGGAATCAACTCCCAAGCCCACCACCAATCACTCAGCAATGGATCATTGATGTATTTCAACGACTCAAACTGTACAAGGCCCCAGGACCAGATGGAATACCAAATATCATTCTCAAAAAATGTGCGGGAATGCTGGCACCATATCTATGTGAAATATACAATGCCATAGGATACCTGAAGGCATACCCAAAAGAGTGGTTAAACTCTACTACGGTGGTGATACGGAAGCCCTACTCCTTTCCCAAATCTTATTGTCCAATCGCACTGATTAACACGCTAGCCAAAGGTTACACCTCAATTATAGCGGAGGACATTTCCTTTCTTGCTACGCAGCACAATCTTCTCCCAGACACCCAGTTTGGAGGTCGACTATGTCGAATGACGACAGATGGTATACACATGGTTGTAGACAAAATCAAATATGCATGGCGTAACAAAAGGGAGGCTTCCATGCTATCCCTAGACATCGAAGGAGCTTTCCCAAACACGGTCACCCAACAACTGCTATATAACCTGTGAAAACGACGAATCCTGGAACAACTGGTGCAGGCAGTGTCCATCTTTCTCAAAGGACGTGTGACTTTACCTCTGCCCCCATTCCGCTTACTAATGGCATTGGACAAGGAGACCCGCTGTCGATGATAGCCTACCTTCTCTACAACGCTGACTTCTTCGATATCACATTCAAATTGCGATGGCAGGGCCTCTCAGTTGGATTTGTCGATGATAAAAACATACTTGTAGAAGGAAAAAGCCTAACAGGGAATGTGGAGATGCTTGAGTTCTTTATGGACAAACCAGGGGGTGGCTTCTCATGGGCGGCGGAATGTAGCTCCTCCTTTGGGCTCTCAAAACTTGTGCTCATTTGCTTCCCCAGGCCCAAAATCAAACCGGAGGCACCACTGCTGGCCCTAGTCCTACAAGGAACTGCAGTTACAGAGAAAACCGAAGTCCGAATGCTTGGGATAACCATAGACTCAAAACTAAAATGGAACAAGCAAGCGGCACAAGCTGCTGCCAAGGCATTGAGCATTGCCTCAGCATTCTGGAAGCTAAGTCGACCATCCACTGGAGTCTCTCTAAAAATGATGCGCAAACTCTATTTAACAGTGGTCATTCCCAAAATGACATATGGATTAGATGTTTGGTACACCCCCCCACATCGACCTGAAGGGGCAAAGAACCGCAGAGGCTCACTAAAAGCGCTACAAAACTTCACGCAAATACAGCATATGGTGACCATCACAACATCTGGCGCAATGGGGTCGTCCCCAACAGATTTCCTCGACATCCACACAAATCTGCTCCCCATGGATCTTATGCTGGAAAAAATATGTCACTGGGCCATTCTACGGATCTACACCCTCCCGGATGAGAACCCAGTAGTCAAAATCACCCAAACTGCCTTCCAACAGCGGCGGGTAGAGAAGATGGCACCCCCACTGAGACTCCTCCCAAGGATCTTCGGCCTCCCATCACCAGAAACAGTCGAAACAATAACCCCTCCTCAACGCGCTGTCCAGTGGACATCCCCAGTTGAAACTAGGATTTTGAAGAAAGATGACACATCCCAATCACTGGAAGAAGACTCGGCCACATACAAGATTTTCTCAGATGGCTCAGGATATGGAGGAATGACGGGCACAGCAGTGGTACTATACAAGAATGGCCGACCACTTACTAATGCAGTTCTTTGATACCAGTTAGGTCCCATAACGGAACACACAACCTATGATGCAGAAGGGGTAGGCATACTACTGGGTCTACAACTAATAGATAGGTACGTGACCAAACCTAATCACCTAAGTTCATTAATCTGCCTTGATGGCTGCTCGGCCATAGAAGCCCTGGAAAGCCATCTCCCAAAATTTGGCCAGAACATCATCGAAGCTACGTTATGAATAGCAAAACCAATGGCCAAGACAAACAGTACAGAGAAAATCACTACAATAACGTGGATACCAGGACACTGCGGAATTGAGGGTAACGAGCAAGCTGACAGAGAGGCAAGGAAAGCAGCAGAAGGGAATGTCAGTGCAAAGGCAAACCTCCCTGCATACCTGGGGAATGGCAACTTCCCTGCCACGGCATCGGCAATACGACACTTCCACAACAGCCTGAAAACCAGATAGGCGCAGCGATTCTCCACATCGCCGAGACACGGGAAGTTTACTGCCATTGACCCAAAAGGAACTAACTCAAAGTTTGCAGAAAACGCAGGGGAATTGTGGCGAAAGCAAACAAGCATCCTATTCCAACTAAGAACAGGACATGTGCCCCTAAACTCACACCTCCACAGGATTGGAAAGGCTGACAGCCCAAACTGCCCACACTGTGACACCATAGGGAGGGCAACCATAGAAACCATAAAACACTACATTACTGAATGCCCCGCCTACAGGAAGGAACAATTCCGCCTACGACAGAAACTGGGAAGACAAACCAGGTCACTCCGACACCTCTTATCAGACAAAAAGTGCACTCCACACCTGTTACGATACATATGGGGGACGAAATGATTCGAAAAAGTTTTCAGGGATGTAACCCCAGCAGACACAAACAATTCATCCTCAACCACTCAAGCCTAACGACGAACAAATACCCTCGCTTGGCATACACATAGAACAGATCAGGGATTATGACCGCAGTCAAAGACAGCACTACTACCTACAAAAAGATAGGCTATAATGCTACAACCTACTCCCACTCTATTCCCTATGCCACCGACCGATTCGTTGGCTCCTTTGAGCCCATTGCAGTTTACATTTATCTACATTGTATTACAAATAGTACAGCTCAATTCCTCCAGCCCTAGGCAAAGGTAGATGTCAAAAACAACTCTAGGACGAGTTGAACCAGAGGGGGATGTAGATCCGTCTGTGGGGCTTTCGTACCTGGAGGATTTAGAGCAGGCCAGGGGCCATATAGATAGACTATGCGCATCATGAGGTCCACCTCCGCATGCAATAAAATGATATTAAATAAAATAAAATAAAATAAAATAAAATAAAAAACACAACAGCTGAGATTGTATGGAGCTGTATCACTACAATCTTTGCATGTACCTGGATAGTAGTACACCCAAATGTACCTGCATTAAATGAATCAGAAGGAAGACTATATTGGCATCACATAAAAATCATGGCTGTTGCACTTATTGCACCAGAATTCATAATCATATGGGCTGCAAAACAACTATTCTCTGCTTGACATGTTGTAGATACATTGCATACATTACCCTCTTGTAAGTATCTTGGGTCAAGGCTGGTACACTTTGTGATACATGATTAATTTTCCTGCAGGCAGTGGGTGGACTCTCACCCATGGCATGTTCCTTATCATGGGTAGGTTCATGCTAACTGATCATTTTGGAAATTGTCTTGGTGTCATACAAGAGTATAATCTAGTCAGACTTAATCTTGGCCATATTTCTGACTCTGAAATCATGGACAAAAGAAAAGGAGATGCACTGGCAAAGACCCTTGGGTTGGTCCAAACAACATGGTTTATGGCCCAAGTCATCTCACAAGCAGTAATGCATCTTCCTGTCACTGAACTGGAGTTAACTACTGTTGCCTTTGCATTCCTTAATCTCTTGACATATGCATTATGGTGGAAAAAACCACTAGATGTCCAACCTCCCATCAGAGTACTGCTATTACAGGGATAGGAATCTCTAAGTTGTTCTGCTTCAGAATCAACAAATCTGGAGTGCAATCACTATTCTGATATAGAAATTGTTTTATGTTCTCAGAATGCTCATCCTGAATCTTCAGATGATGATGTAGTCACATATACAGAGCAGAAGCCTGGCTACAAAGCTGAAGGCAATATCATAAAAATTGACTCTTTGGATCAACCGCCACTACATTGTTTGTCCCCGGAGTAAGAGAATAGAGGAGAGAGACACAAGAGAGATACAAGTAGCAGCCAAGCCAGTAGCAGCAATAACACTGACAACAAGAAGTAAACCAAAGGACTCTACATCCTAAGGTTGAGATAGAGAAGCTCTTGAAGTAATAAGCCTTAGAAGACAGAGGGACTAGAGAAGCAATCCAAGTTGATCTAAAATGATAATTAAACTGAAGAACTAAAGTACAGTATAGGAGTATTTATACTAACTAATTGGCATATCAGAGTAAAGTGCTAGATGAGTTACTAGAGGCTGTATATTTAGTGCTTTCAGGGTAGAGAATAAGACAATAAAAGTAAACTAGGGAGAAAGGGAATGTGTAGTGAGAAAGAACAATAAGAAAAAAATTACAACAAATGGTAAATCTCAGAGTACTGAGCACCAAGATATAGTTTTGACAACCATCCCCAACATAACTTCTTCCTCTTCTTCTACTTCATGGCCTGTTGTACTGATCCCGACCCTATTCTCTTTAACCTCGCAGGTAGCCAACCCCAAAACCATAGATCTGCTTAAGGACAATGAGGAGGATCTGGAGATGGAAATAACAAAAATGATGAATGGATCTGTAAAGTGAAGGAAAAAAAGAAAGCAGAGGCAGAGGCAAAGAAAAAGGCAGAAGAAGAGGTGGCAAGGAAGGCCGCAGAGGAGGAGGAACAGAGAAGAAAGGAGGTAGCCTGGGCTAAGGTGGCAAAAAAGCAGGCCACAGAGAAGGTCAGAAAACAAAGGAAAGAAGCAGCAGAATGTCAAAGAAAGATAACAGCAGCAGCAGCAGCTGTTAGGAGTCACTAAGGGGCTTCAATAAGTGAGGTGTCAACTTCAGTGCAGAGGGTAGAAGTGGAGATAGAGGTTCGCAAGAAGCAGCAGAAAGGGAAAGGCAAGCAAAAGGCCAAGGTAGGTAGTATCCTTCTTATTAACTTTTTTTTTGTTAACTTGCAAGTTAGGCTGGTGGTGACCCCAGCAACAAGAAACTGGAAGTCAGTGACAATGAACATGCTCCTTGCAAAAGATGCAGAAGCAAGAAGATCCCTTGCCAGATGCAGGCTGCCAAGTTGTTAAGATCATATACACTGGAAAACTGTGCCAAGGGCCGTTCAGTGTCTAAGTGCAGAGGGTCAAATGGGACAGTAGTGAAGTTATTAACAACACTGCCATTATGCCATTAGTCCCTGGAGGAAAAGAGTAGAAGCGGGGTATGAGAAGGAAGTGAAAAGCAGCCCAGCCAGTTATGAGGAGCAAACCAAAGAACTAGTGTTCTAAGGTCAGAGTAGAGAGTACTCAAGGTAACGAGCCTTAAAACTTCAGAATATAGAGAGTGATGATCTAAGATGATAATTAAACTGAAAAACCATAGTACAGTACAGGAGTATTTATACTAGCTAATTGGCATATCAGAGCAGAATATTAGACTAGCTACTAGGGGCTGTATGTTTAGTACCTTCAGGGTAGAGAATAAGACAGTAAAAGTAAACTAGAGAAAAAGGGAATGTGTAGTAAGAAAGAACAATTTAAAAAAATCACAATAAATGGTAGATCTTAAAGTACTGAGCACTGGAGCAAGGCGCCAAGGCATGGTCTTAACAGATTACCATTATCAGGCAATGTTATCCAACAACCAATGGAGATAGCATTATCACATTCACATCTTGAATCCAATATCTTCTAATGCTTTACATAGTGTTGAGATGCCTGATGAAGACCATAGAGTGCTCATCAAAGTCAGTATACCACATATGGTTGGGTAGGGATAGGATGACCTGGAATTTGTTTTACATATATTTCTTCTGTAAGAGGTGCATTCAAAAAAACTTGTTCAATATCAAAAGAATACAATTTCAGGTCCATTTGTGCAGTCCAAGCCATGACAATGAGATATGATACTATCCAGGTAACTGGGGCATGAACATTCCCATAATCCTCAGGTCATTGAATAAAGCCTTGTGCAATGAGTTGAGCTTTCTTAGTGCCATCCAGCTTGAGATTGTATACCATTTTCAGGCCAATCAGGAATTTACCCTGAGAACATATCAGTACTTCCTCAAAAACCCCTAAATCAAAGAAACCAGATATTTTTCTATTCTCGGTGTTAAACCAATTAGCAAGGTTAGGGCATAGTAGCATTTCTCTTCATGTGGATGGTGCTTTCCAAGTCAAATTGGCAGGGTTTGGAAGTGAATGTCGAAAGAAGTTTTTGTGAATGGAAAAGGCTTGAGATATTTGTAAGTGCCGCAAAGAAGAATTCAGTATCATCCTTTATACAGTCTACATTATTTTCAAGAATTCAGCAAGCAAGAGAGCAACCTATAATATCAAAATCAACCTGTGACTCGCAAGTTGGAGAAAGCCCATCATTAATGCATCATTCTTGAAGAAGTTCATGACTCGACAAATACCGTCATGCCATTCTTTTCCTTGTTCTATTAGTTTCATGATCTGATGAGGTCAAGGTCCATTAGGAGAAGCCAGTTTTGTAGTTGAAAAGTTTGTCTGTGAATTAGGTAGTTGCAGAATCAGAGTAGTCATGGATGTGGTAGTCTTTAATGTGCGTGGACCATGGAGACAACCAAATTGAGATTTGTTGAATATAACTTGGTCAGGAAAGTGTTCCTTTCTATTGGTGTTACAAACTTGCCATCCTACCCAATTATCTTCATAACCCACAAAAATACTTTCCAACATTTTATCACCAAATTTGAGTCAAATGTCTTTGGATACTTGAATCCAACATTGACACCCCTATACTTGTAGATTTGACATATTTGGTGGATGGCTGTAAACCATTTTATAAGGAGTTTTGTGGTCTGGGAGAGTTTTTGTCAGTAAGTGGAATCTGATATAATGATCCAGGTCAGAATGGATTTCAACAGTGTGAGGGACAAGGTAAATTTGAATCTATATTTAAGCATTCTCCCACAGATAATAAATTCACTGGAGCATTGGGAGCATATAAATAATCATGCATTTTTAGGACCAGAGGGCCATTTGTTCCTTTGATTTGCATCTGGAAGTAACAAGTTGTTAAGATCATGTACACCATGGAACCGTGCCAGAGGCCACAAGGTGTCTAAGAGCAGAAGGTCGAATGGGACAGTAGTGAAGTTATTAACAACACCGCCATTACGCCGCTAGTCCCTGGAGATCGAGAGTATAGAAGAGAGGAGCCAGAAGCAGCCAAGTCGGAGTGGCGGTAATGCCGATGACAAGGAGCGAACCAAAGAACTTATAAGTCCTAAGGTTAGAGTAGAGAGTACTTCGAGGCAATGAATCTGAAGACTTAGAGAAGAGCTAAGTTGAGGAGGGAATCTAAGTCAATAATTAAACTGAGGAACTACAGTAGCGTACAGGCAGTATTTATATCTACGGATCGGCGCATTGGTGCGGAGCGCCAGACTAACTACTAGGAGCTATACGTGTAGTACCTGCAGGGTAGAGTAAAAGACAATAAGGAGAGACTAGAATGAAAGGATATGTGTAGCGAGAAAGAACAATAAGAATGAGATTACAATAAAAGGTAGATCTTCGGAATACCGAGCAGCGGAATGGAGGCCCGAGGCATGGACTTGACACAAGTCTTTAGTGGATAAGATCCCCAAATTAGCTGTTTGTACTACAAGAGCTCCATCAATGTCAAAGGTAAAAAAGAATCTTCTGTTATTAATAATGTAGTCTGTACAAGCTGAATTCAAAAGTGTTTGTGTTTTCTGAACAATTGTTGAACATGCGAGTGATTTGTCATCCTTCAGAGGTGTTGTGGGAGCGTTTAGAAACAAGAATACTAGTGCTGCAAATGGTTTAAGGCATCGAGCAGGATATATGGAATAATTTGATTACACACACCCTTTTACGTAGGTCCAGTTCCTGTCCCTTTGTACCTGCTAACTATATGGATTTCCTTTCACTCTCTGTTTCTCCATATCTGTTTCTCATCTCTACAATCATCTACATAATTTAATATATACTTTTACTTCACATTCAAGCATTTCAAGTGTACCCAACCTCCCTTAACCAAATTTGAAGCTTCCTAAATGTCTACCATTTTGGTGAGCCAACCTCCTCAATACCTCCCTTGAACTCCCTACTTGCTTCTCAAGTACTGGGACCTTGCCTATAAGCAAAGTTGAATCTCTCTATGTTGTCTCACCTTGTATTGTTTCTCTGTTGTTACCTCCAACACTCAGGAACTGTCAAGTCCATGCCTCGGGGCCCCATTCCGCCATTCAGTATTCCGAGATCTATTGTTTATTGTAATCTCTTCCTTATTGTTCTTTCTCGCTACACATACCCTTTCATTCTAGTCTCTCCTTATTGTCTTTTACTCTACCCTGCAGGTACTACACGTATAGCTCCTAGTAGTTAGTCTGGCGCTCCGCACCAATGCGCCGATCTGTAGATATAAATACTGCCTGTACGCTACTGTAGTTCTTCAGTTTAATTATCAACTTAGTTCTCCTCTGAGTCTTCAGGCTCATTGCCTTGAAGTTCTCTCTACTCTAACCTTAGGACTTATCAGTTCTTTGGTCCGCTCCTCATCACCGGTGATACCGCCGCTCCGATTTGGCTGCTCCTGGCTCCTCTCTTCTATACTCTCGATCTATGGGGACTAGCGGCGTAACGGCAGTGTTGTTAATAACTTCACTACTGTCCCATTCAACCTTCCGCCCTTAGACACCTTGTGGCCTCTGGCACGGTTACAGGGTGTACATGATCTTAACAGGAACATCCAC